ATTATTCAAAGTTCTTGTTACTTTTATGTTTATAACGGTATAATTCTAAACTCGTTATTCAATAGTGTCATCATTTATTTTAGAGACAGACCGCCTTTTTTACCCATTAGTGATAATGTAGCTATTTTGAGTTTACCATTAGAGGCAGATAATTTCAGTTTTTATTGTCATTATCTAGGATTATTACTATATAGATAATAAAACAATAATTCAGTAGAAATTATTAGCCACTAAATATCCATATTTATTCTAAAGTTATGCTGTAAATGTCATACGTAGCAAGTAAACAAATTAACACATAGTATAGTTAATCAAATAACTCTGTTGTGTTCAAGATTTATCTTCTCTTTAAACATTTTGGCAAGAATATATAATATCGTATGAATGCGATTCACTTACCAAACTGATAACCCGTTTTCATACGGTAAAATAGAAAGTATTTTTGCAGACTGTTCGCCCAAAAATAGGCGCACATAACTATAATACAACCTACAAACGAATAAGAATGAAAAACAGATTTTTATTATACGCATCTCAATGTTTACGGGATGATTTGCCGCCAAATATATTTTAAACTTAGGTTTTTAAGTTAGGTTTAGGGTTTACTCCTCAAAAGAAAAGATTAACTCTTATAAGATCACATAATTGTCCATCCGTCTGCCTATGCCGATTTATCCCTGTCAGTTGGTTACTTTTGGAAATAGTGGACCTATCTCTACAATAAAAAGGAATTGCAAATAGCATAGGTATGTAATGCGGGAACTGGCAGTATGTAAATATATTGCATGTGCAGTCTTTACGTGTATGGAAAATTTTAGATATCGGTTGCAAAACGAAGAGTTGCTACAAATTTATTGCAAAATTATCCAATAGTCCTTGACGTAAAGTAATATCATCATAAAGTATTTAACCAATAGTCATAATATGTACGTAAATAGCTACGGATTAATGTTGCGTTTTGAAATAATAAGAAATTAAAAGGATGTAAGAAAGGGAGAAAAGGCATTCTTATAGGTTTACTACTTTATTCTCTCAATACTTATTTGACCTTTCGGGTCAGAATTTCTTCCTACTGATTTGATTGAGAAATACATGTAGGTAAAATTGTGTTTTGACTATAATACATTACTTAATAAACATTCATACATTTATTATATTTAATTACCTACTACCTGTAATGTATCTGTGGTTACGGATTAAGAATACAGAGCGTCACGTGCCACCACCCCTATTCATTCCATGGGTGTCGTAAGAACCGGCTAAGGGAGCAAACTACCCAGGACAACAAGAAGGAAAACTTGACACAGATCCTATATCAACCCGTCTGGCCAGCGTGGTATAGTGGGCCAAAATCTCCATTCTAAGGGGAGGCCTATATCCAGCAGTGGACTATTAAAAGCTGTTGATGATGATGAATGTATTTGTTAAGAAAGGAATGATAAAGTGATAGGTCTGAATTATATTCAACTCACTATAAGAAACTTTCAAAAATATTGTAATGTCTAATCACAGGTTTTCTAAATTTTATTCTTTTAAATTTCTTATTATGCAGCTTTAATCTTTAATATACTTCTGCGAATAATTTTTTTTTTAATAATATGTAATGAATTAATTACTAACAGATACTAGCGATTAATATTTTTGAAGTTATAAAAGCATGTTTATGCATAATGTTTTATTTTTCCTTAACATTTTACTGCTCTCGACAGATTTAGTGCCGAGAATTATTTTACAATTGGTAATTTTATTCACGTACAAAGAATTAGATTGAATATTCTGATGTCTATCGTCTTTCCTCTTGACTTTCTGCGATCTGTAGGAATGAATAAATAAAAAGATTTCGTGAAAAGAATCGGAAGTGTGTAAACGATTTCAGGGAAGCGCGCTATATCAAACGTGAGCTCACGATCTAGAAGAATAGATATATTCAATACGAGATTGTAGGTTCTAAGAAGACGAAAAGGATGTGTATACAGGATGTAACATAGTATTCTAGTACGTATAATAGAAAATGAGAACGAATTTATTTCTTATATAACAGTATACATCTATAACATCACAACATACTTATAAACATGAATCTGTGGCTTGCTTGATGAAACCGATTTAAGGCAATCCGAAGGTATTAAAAATAAAAAATAAATGTGTTAAATACCCTCATACAAAAGTTAATAACGTCAGTTAATATTAACAACAATTCATTAAATTAAATAAACTTACTATGTGTAAAGATTAAGTAATCTTCACACTGTGGGTTAACTAATTTTTGTGATAATGATTAGCAAATTAATTCTTGTTTTGTTTCATAAATAAATATGAATGGCAGTTCTTACGTTAAACTAAAGCAAATACGCCATTTTAATTACTTTGGGATTACTATATTCTTTCTTGTCCATCGTTTTATATTATCCAATGGACAAAAGTTAAACTAGTAAAACGCAGCTAACATAAAACATTACATTATCTTTATAGATAAAAAAATTATAGTTACATTAAACATGTATGTATGACTGGGTGTAGAAATAGCAACAATAAACTAAGCACAAATCTAGTTGAAGGATAAATGTGTACCTATGCTAGTTAAACGCGGCGGTCAGAAATTGATACTAAAAATGATGGGAAAAACAGAAATTAACTCTACAGTAAACTTTTTAATACAGTCTACAGTTAAACAACTTAGTTCAACAAGTTCAGGGTACAGTTTTTCTTTTACATTATCGTAATCTAAGTAATTTAAGTAGCCGACTTTCTTACATAAATAAAATGAAGGGTAAAATATAGTAATAACATAATAATGTACACCATCAGTTTATTCTTGTCCTGTCCGTCATCGTCACAAGTACTCACAGGTAATCGTACCTATGGTGGGAGAAGGGTGAGAAGATGATGGTGTTTTATACACTTTTCGTAATTCATTATTTTTCTGATGCGCTGATTTAACGTGCTTTTAGTTTTATGACTTGGTTCTTAAGTAAACTCTGCGTTGATTTTTTCCTATCAAGTTAGGTACTGGATTATCAAACATATTCCTAAATTCAATTTTTCATCAATCATCATCATCAACAGCCTATACTAGTCCACTGCTGGACATAGGCCTCTCCTTAGAAATAAGGTTTAAAATTAAATTAAATTCAATTCAATTTTGGTTTTTAATTCAATTTTTATAATGTTAAATATAATGACCATTCTCTTAATTTATGTAATTAAAAGGTCTTGATATACCTACTTATACGGGTCATCAAATATGTTAAGTAGAAAAAAACTATGAAGGCAAACTACTTGTATTTAATTGTTAGACTGAGGATTCTGAACAAGTTTTTTTGGAGGTGTGGGATAATTAAACAAGAATGACCTTGTGAATGCTACAAAATAAATGAGTACTTTAGGTTATGGTATCTGTGAACCTTTGCCCGCACAATCCACTTAAGACTGAATAGCCTTGAACATGCGAAACGAATCCTAATTACTTAATACTTTCTTTCTTAAAAATAAAAAGAACAGCCGCGCTACTAACAGATCCTGTATCGCGGGGGAGTTTACAACATTAACATTTATGACACGGACACAAAGAACACCCAGACTCAGAACAACAAATTGTGGATCACATAAAGTGTGGTCCCATTTGAGGATCGAACCCCCAACACTCAGCGTAATAGGTAGTGTCGAACTAACCGCTTAAACTACAGCGCCATCTGTAAATATACTAATGAATATAAATATAACAATAAATACATATAATCATTTTATTTATACGTTATAATAATGTATAAGATTATTGCGCGTTATTATCGATTGACAAACATAAAAATAAAACTAAAACGATATTGTGTTCATCTACCAAACAGTTAAAAGACCTAGATCATCTTATCTATAATTTATTGCATAAAATTCATTTTTATTGTAATACGTAACGGTATGGCGAATTAAAAATATATACTGTTTACGTGAAACTGTCTTAAACTACGTAAAATTATCTGACTCCTATTATGTTCGTCTTATCGTATCACAGTTATTATAATTTGGACGTCAAAATATTAAAATACTTTTAAAAGTTCCAACAGAAAATGTTACCAATTAACATTTTTCAACTTTTTTTATTTTAAGTATATTTCTGACCAACTACATAATACACAAAATAAATAAACAATCAGGGTATCTAGGTATATAAAGATATAGCACATCTCACCGACTGCTATCTGTGATCGGACCGATTATTTCCGATTCGATTCCCAAATGGGACAATGATTACTCTGATTTTGAGTCTTAATAAAAGTTGTATCTGGCAACGTTCAGTTCATCGCAACAGGTAATATTTATAAGAAAGGTGTTCTCTTTAAAAAGTACCAATACACATATAATTTAAATAAATGAGTTCTGGATGTTTAACTCAACTTAGCAATTAATAATCTCGTTTTTAAAACAAAATGATATAAAACTACCTGTACCCTGCCACGCTTCGCTGTGGTGGCACATTTTGGTTGCATTGATAAAAACAATATTTGAAGGGGTTTGTATATTGTGTCAAAATTTGAGGTCAATCAGTGCAGCACTTTTTGAGTTTTTGAATCGTGTACGTGTGCTTCAAAACTCATAAACTCTTTTTGTAAATATAAATTACATTTTAAATTAAAATTAAAATTATTGTTGAAACAAATATTGATATTAAGTAATATTTGAAGACATACAAGCATATTTGCATGTGCTATGCATGTGACTACTTCTGACTTTAAAGTACCCTGACCGGTTTTAGTCAAATTGATTGTACTTTGTGTGAAAAAGTAACACAGCAACTAATAAAATTTAAAAAATATATAAAAAATCGATCAGAGATGGGTCAGTTCAAAGGCACTTCAGCATCATCGTTAAAAAAGTAGAAACACAAATAATTGTTCTAACAAACAAACCTTACTTAAAAGTATGCAAGGAATTAAAATTCAATAATATAATTAAAATATATACAGGATATAAATGTAAATAAAATACATATTCAAAATACTTACATTCTCAAAGTAGTCGAACAGTAACAACAAACACAAAAAGTATATTGAATACGTCCAGTTCTTTTCTTTTTTTGTTAAAAGAAAAAAGTATTTTTCGAACGGAAAGACTCACAGCAGTGCGACGATAAATACGTATAACGAACGCGTAAATCGGTCGGACAGTCGCACCCAACTGACGGTGCCAGAGTTAAGTTTTGGTGGCGCGTATGTTTAACAGCCGCACAAGACGCGATGCCATTTTGAAACATTTTTTTAAATTATAGATTGCCTTTAATTTCAAGACCTCCTATGACCTTGAAAAAGGCGTTTTTGTCTGACAGGAATGGCCACTTCCATTTTGAAAACATGATGTTGAAACCACACATACCACATTGGTTCACAATTATAGTTTGATGGTCGTGCCATATTATATTTTGTTCATTAATCCACGGTATACAAACTTCTAGGTAAGATGGATAGTACACAATAGTAATAACAAATAATATTGTTGAATTGAGAGGATGTACTTAATATGGGCACCGGAAAGTTGATATCTGTAGATTCAGAATTTAGCCCTAACAACAACAAACAATTTTTATGTTATCATATTTCATCATTATATTCATCTGCCTGAAGCCCAAAAATTTGTCCTTGGGAATTTAATCGTTTTCAGACAGGACAAAAGAAAAAGGTTAGTTGCGGTAAAGAAAATTCGTTAAAAAAAAGTAAAAGGTTATTGACACACAAACATTTTGCGCCATTTCATTATAACTGAAGACTGAACTTAGAATCACTTCGTTTGTCTGTCTATTCTTCTTGAGAAGAAGATATATAAGCCTTTTTCTTTATCATTTTGCAGGTCCATTTCTCATTGATTTAAAATTATGAAATTTCGCGACAAGTAAAGTCTCATAGTACCTACATAGTAGTAAGTAAGCGGAAAAAGACGAAAGTCGTTGACATGTTACAAATCTTTCTGAGGTTACAAACTTATGTTTCGCGCTTGGGAAATTGAGTTGTAATTAATCGATGTATGGGACAGTATTATTAGTATGGTTAAGGTTACGGATGAACAATGGTGCAGATAGCTACAATAATCCAGAAACACATTCAAATGTACAAAACACTTGAACACATAATCTTACAAAAGTAATTTTTATTTATGATAAAGGGGGCAACCGAGCAGACGGGTCACTTGATGGTAAGTGACACCTATAGCTCAAGAGCCACAAAGTCCTCTTCGGAATGAGGGGTAATGGGAAGTTTTCGTCTCCGGTAAGCTCACTCACTCATTGAATAGCCACGAAGGAGTTGCTAATCACGGGTTTTCTGTGAGACCGGTTAATTTTTGCCGAGACATTGCTCTCCTGAGGTAAAAACTGCCATAACTAACAAATTATTGTGTGCTCTACAAAATAATCTTAACATCGAAAACGTACATAATTCATTAATCATTACTTTTCTATAGGTATATTGTTTAACATCAAAGTTTCATAAACAGGTCAAAAACCAATAAATACTATTTCCAAATGTGTTAATATAATTTTGTCGCCTCCGATATTCAGCAACTTCTTATGAGACGTTCGATTGTTTTATTCTGTAGGCATGTAATGTAGGAGTAAATGCAACTAGAAAATTTTACCTATGCAAACTACCTAGGCCAAAAGCACTGAAAGAGAAGGAAAACTTGACACAAACCCTATACTAACCCGTCTAGCCAGCGTAGTATAGTAGGCCAAAACCTTCTTTCTAAGCAGAGACCTATTAAAGGCTGTTGATAATGATGATGATCACAAATTTTACCTACCTTTCCTCGCCGAATAAAACATTTTTTTTCCATCTGATTCCTAGAATGCCAGACAACATTCTTTCTCTATTACGGAATGTAGAAGACCTCGCCAAAATAACGAAATATTACAATAAACCTAAGCAATTTTAAATGCGTCAAATTTAAACAGAAGATGAAGAAACTAAAAACAGCACTAAGATGACCTGTAGAGAATAGGTAGGTATTTTTATACCTATTATTGCTATAATCACAATTCAATGTAGATAATAATTATGACTGAATTACAAAGATAACTGTTCCCATGATTCATTACCTATTAAAAGCAGGCATGTGCGAAAGAAAATGGCATACATAAAATGTATGTAATAGTCGATCACTACCATAGCGACTGTAACCGGCTTCTGACAAAAACCTGCTTGTATGTACGTTGGCAGACTTAAATACTATCTAGGACAGCATGCAGCTTACGAAATTTAAGGGACTAGATTGGTATTTTACGCATTCAACTGACTGTAAGTGTGTTAAGAGCACGCTAGTCGATGAGTTAAACTTAAAAGTGTGATGATGAATGAAAGTAAAATATATGTGGTGTCTTAGATCTACTTACTTCTCTGATCATACGAATTTTGTTATATAGAGTTTTGAAGACTATGAAAACTATGAAATATGAAAACAATCGGACGTAATTCAAACTAAGTACATACAATACATATTTAAAATTATAAATGGTTTTCTTTTGGGTATTTTACACTCTTTATTCGTTTTCTACACCCTAAGCATGTTCTTTTAAACTTTTTAATTACACCTTGTTATAGATTTATTTTACTATAAAGTACTTGTTTATGTACATAAAATTATATAGGTCAAGAAAATCTGAATTTTACAATATCACACAAGCACAAATAGTTAAACTTTAAAGGGAAATTGCCACTATTTCAAGAAAACTTCTAAGACGGCCGTTTTTGTTTAAAAAAAATCTTATCATTCAACAGAATTTTAATAAAAATATAAAAAAGGTATTTTAAAATAACAAAAGCGCAAGTAATAAATAATTAACTTTAATGAGTAGAAAAGCAAAATTCCCAAAGATCTTCAAAAAATCATTTCCCAAGTTGACATAGCTCTGCGTCCTTTAATAGGTTAATATTATACTTTTTCACACAACTGAGTTGCCCAACATACCTACCTACCTACCTGGTATTAACCGGTTGCTGGTTTCCATAAACGCTATACTTTTATATTGTAGTGATGACGGAAGTCTTGTTTTTTTTTAATGTAGTTGTCCATTCTGCAGTCATCCTATCAAAAGAATATCAATAAAATGATATTATGCAAAATCTTCATCCTGCCATTCCCTGATTCTATTTGGGCTCCGTTCAATATGTTTCGAAATTCTTTCATTTATTTATTTATTGACCTTTAAGGATTTACTTTATGAATGACGGCCCCCAAATATTATAATAACGAGACTTTTTTAATCCATAATATGGTAGAAGAATGTTTTTATGGAACCTTGAATTTATTCTTACTTGTATTTGAGCGATAATGACAATTTCTTCAGCTGCTTTATGAACTCCGAGTCGGTAAATTGTTGCCTCATACTGAAGGTTTGAAATCCTTGATAAAACAAGATTAAGCGTTGCCACATCGACATCAGTCCAGCAATTTAGTTATTACCGATTAGTGCATATATATAATTAAAACTTTGCACGGTGAAATACACGCAGTATAAATATTATAAACTACAAATTTTATTTATTGGTTAGGTAAGTAAGAACCTGCATTTATACTGTCTAATTCTACAGTAATATTTTCAACACGATAAATTTTATTCCAAACCAATTGTTTGGAAAAACGATTATTCTTCACATTAACAAAAAATATTTGGTTAAAATATTCCGACATGTGCGAATTTCAACATTAACGTTTTGCATTTCTTTCCCCTATGCGGCGACGAATTCTGAATTCTTCTTAGGATTGATTGAATTAGGTTGCATGATTGCTATTCCTTAGTTCGTCCATCTCGGGAATCGATTTTCAACTTTTTGCTATTCGAAATACGATATACTTTCGCTACAGTTAAATTTCCAAGCGAATATTAAAATTTTGTAATTGGAAAAAGAATTTTTAAGTTACATTCCTGAAAAGGAAAATACGTCTACAATTGTCACATAGAACAAATAAAGCTTATATGAAGTAGGAACCACATGTTTTTCCTGTTGATATTAATATAATGATATCTAAGTCTTATAAAAGCGTATACAGTCTTGATTCTATATTACAATTTTACGCCTTATATCGAACAACAAGTACATCCATCTACCTTCCCTCGTACCGTACTTCGTACCTCGTGCCATCTACTTTTCGTAGTTCATTTGACGGGCCTTTTGCTATAGTGGTTAGTGATCCTGACTGCTAAGCCAGAAGTCGTAGGTTCGATTCCAGGGATGTGCCGGATCGTTAACAAAGTATATCCGCGGATACGGATCCGAATACGGATATTTGGTGTCAAGATCCGCGGATACGGATACGGATACGGATCTTAAGTTTCTTACTCAATCGGAGCCCGTGACCTTGATAGTTGTCGCCACTTGACGCTTTGCCGTTGACGCGTGCCAGACAGGTCAGTACGTGTTTCGTAAAGATGAAAATGTTATAAAGATTCAACTTGTGGTTGTCCCATTATAGAAGTGATGTTAAAAGTTTCTATAATATTTAAATATTTCATTATTTTAATAAGCTAATACAAAGATGTTTGATTGATCTCATCATAAAGATAGCTCTTTCCGTACCTACGACCTGCCTAGTTGATTTAGTGTAGTACGATAAATGATTGCAATACCTTTGTGCCAAATATTTGTTTTAAGAAATAAAAAGTAATCTGAACAGAATTCAATAGTGTTTCATAGCTACCTAATAACATTATTCAGGGTTATTTTAAATTTACTGAAAACCTCTGAAGTGCATATTAGTAACATTATAAACAACAACTTTTCTTCTGGACTAACACCGAAAACGAAAGAAAAAAAATTGTTTCTCCATACAAACTAACAACATTTGATTGGTAATTTGAATGGAGGACCAATTTTTTTTCATTTTAACGTTGGCCAGAAAAAAAGTTGCTGTTTATAGTGTTAAAAAGTTTGTGTTTTCACTGTAAAACTATTAGGTATGTGTTTGTAATACAAACACATACCTAATAATTTTACAGTGAATACAAAATCACCTATATAGAATTTGATCTATGGATTGAAAGATCCGTGAAAGATCCGCGAAAAAAGTCACGGATACGGATACGGTTACGGATCTCTCTTCTCCCTTGGATATCCGCGGATACGGATACGGATACGGATATCCGGCACATCTCTATTCGATTCCCACCCAAAACAAATTATTATGTTATAAGCACGATCATCTGTTCGGTCTGGGTGTAAATTATATAAATATTTATGTATTTAGAAATATATAAGCTAAATTTAATAATTATCAGCGGGCTAGTTACCATAGTACAGGTCTGCTTAGTTTGGGATCAGACGGCAGTATGTAGGATGTGTGAGGTCATAATTATTAAAATTAATTGAAAAATATAAAAGGCCATTCATTTGTTGCGTCACTCACACGAATTTTACGTTGATTTTGTCCAAGTCCTTATAACAAGAAGCCACACTTTGACTCCTTCCTTGTGGAATTAACGAAAACAGCAATTTTAAAATTAATCATTTCAATGAGATCACTATGGAATTTAAAAAAAATGAACCAACCTTAACGATTGGAAAATGATAAGTTGTATTACTGAAAGATCTAACAAAGGAAAGGCTTATCTGGTATCTGTGAACTTTCGACTCACTCTTTCTATTATTAATCACTGTCATAATAGTCTCAACATGGTTCATGAATGATGACCTTTAATCTTAAACTACTAGAGAAACTTTAAAGAATAAAGGCTGGGTAGAAACTATTACGTTGTTTTTACATCATACGTACATATATCTGATTAAACTTTAATCAGGGGCGACCTTTGGGGGTTGCGAGCAGGGCAAACACTCGGGGTATCGCTCATGCAGGGGCATCGCGCACTCGCGCAACAACCCAAGGAGAAAATGTTCAATAAAATTACGTGCGATACGATGTTTATTGAAATTACTTGCTATTTGCACTCAATTTATGTTCAGTGATTCTCTGTTCTCTTATTGCATTTCGCCTGTCATTTTGACAGACTTTCAGTGTCGAATGTCGTTGGCTTATGCTTCTATGTTCGAGCAGCAGTATGTGTTGTATTGCCTTGCATTTTATGTTCCGAGTATCATTACTAAAACTAATGTCACAAAAAACAAGGGCCAATGATCCACCAGCTCAGGACCTAGTAATGATCTACCTGCCCGGATCCTTGTACTGGCTAAGGCCGCCACCGCCTCTAATGCTGACTATCTTGAAGAAAACTGGTTTCCCACGAGAAGTAGGAACCGTCCGTGTGGTGACGGATTAAGAATACGGAGTGTCACCAGGTGTGGTGACACTCCGTATTCTTCATCCCAAGACAACATCAAAGAGTCGGAGATCCTGACACAAATCCTATACTAACCCGTCTGGCCAGCGTGGTAGGCCAAAATCTCCTTTACCTCTTTTTTAATGACTATTAGAGGCTGTTTATGATGATGAAGAACTATTAAAAGGTAACCTGGGAAATAAAATATATATTCATATTATATCTTTGTACACACATAAAGTAATCAGAGATTTTCTTTATAAATTATTGTTAATTTTATCAAGTTATTTTTTTCAAGGGTATCAACTGCAGGAAATAATCCCTACAGCATTTAGTCAAGAGATTATACTTGTTATAAGATGATTTCGAACTCGAGTACATACTTAACTTTTCTTTGCAAACTTCCACACAGAAGTCGGCACAACAGTAAACTTGCCCATCTGATCTAACCATAATAAATATCTGGTCAAAAGTTCTTGAGAATTTCTTAATTTTTGTGAGTTGTCATTTCTTTTTTGCCTTCGCGAAGACTAAAGTTTTCAAGATCAGTAAGTACAAATATTCGTACAAAGATCATTTTAGGTATTTAATAATATTATAGACACTGACAGTTAATGAAACAAATTTTCAAATAAAAAAAAAATTTAGCCATTCCTTAAATCTTTTTGATTTCATAGAAGTTACAATTACACTAACGCCAAAAGCCAGTCTCATTGCGCACATCATAATAATATATTTACCCATTAGCCAGTTGACCAATAAATCGGTCAAATCTCACAACTTTATTTCAGAAAAATGCTAATTATATTGCTAAATACGTGGCTTTCAAGTTTATGAATAGTTTTTGGCTTTTAATAAAACTTAACAATCTCACATACTCAATAATAGAACACTGATTGTTTAAAAAAAATACTCTACCATTAAAAGACTAAAAGATTTTGAGTCAAGGCCGTCATACTTGTCATTAGTGTCATTCAAACTTACAGTCCTACCAACTTATCTGTGAACTGAAAGAGGACGGCACCGTCGATTCAGTGTTGCTAATTTATATAAGGTGTCCAAAATTGAGTAAGTTTTCAAGAAAGAAATTTCACATTAGACATAAGTTTAATAAGAATTAAAAACAAAACAAATTAAAAATAATGATACCTCTTAAAATTAATAAAATAAATAAAAAGAATTTGATAATTTACAGTTGCGTAGGTACGCTAACAGTTTAGTCTCTCAGCAATAAACAATGGCTTTATCTAAAAAGTAATCCAATTAAGTGGAAATTCAGCAGATAAAATGTTCCACGGGAGAGATACAACTTTCATTTAATGCGAAGTTAAGTAGGTACCTACCCTGCAAGAGGTACCTGGATGTCTAGCATTTAGTTATGACCGTAACTAACCCCTAACACCAGATTTGACTAATTATAATTAGCAGTGGTACCTAGTGGTAGTGTAGTGTAATAAAAAAAAACAAATTGCTTTATAATAATTTATTGAAAACCAGGTTTACAGTAATTGTGATCTTTAAATGAACCTGCATACACAACTTCATCCTGGTTGTGAGGCCATACTCCGCTTATTTCCGTACCACTATCATCATTATCACTATCGCTTTCGGTTTCAGTCTCACTTACAACTTCTATAATAAAAGGTTTATCTAAATACAAATCATGTTTTAAATATTCTTCTTCTAACCTGCGAACATGTTTACAATGCTGTGCCCACTCATGAACTGTAATGGCGTCAAAAGCTTCTCTAACTAGGCAGGGAATTTCAGCATTTTTGTGCTCAATATTTACATCAGCAACTTTTCTTTTCATTGTGCTCCATATGAGTTCAATGGGATTGAGATCACAGTGATAAGGTGGTAAATATAAGCATTTATGTCTATTGTCTTCTAAAATTTTTTCAATCTCATATACAGGTTCAGGCTTGTTTCTCTTAATTATTTCTAAAAGCTGAGGTTTAGTCAAATTCTCTCCGTAGTCAATTTTATTTTGGGTCAACCATAATTGCATATCTTTTTTTAAAGAATTCGTATTTGGGACTTTATTCACACAAATACGGTGATAAGGAGCATTATCCATCACTATTATGGATGGCTCTCGTAAATTAGGCACAAGTTTTTCAATAACCCACTTTTTAAAGTTGGTACTATTCATCTCGTCATGATAATCACCACTTTTTGTGTTTGATTTAAACACAAGTAGTGCATTTGTAACAAATCCAGTATCTCCTCCCGCATGAACAATAATATATCTTTGCCCTTTCGATACAGGCTCCAATACTCCGTCTTCACCGTCTCCTTGCCAACATTTACCCGATGTATGCGAAGAGTGAATATAGGTCTCATCTAAATAAATTATGGGCCGGGGCTGGAGAGATTTATTATTTTTATCCACTGCATGCAAGTACTTAGCTCTCCAAGCTGATATTTCATTACGCTCCATAAGAACCTTTCGATTGGATTGAGATTTTTAAAAACGAAATCCCAACTTGTGAAGCAGCTTTCGCAGACTCTCTCGCTGTCCTGTGTAATTTATTTCTGTCTTTAAGACCTCTAGAAGCTTTTTAACAGTAGGGACCTCTTTTTTGGCAGAATAAAATTCATGTACTTTCCTCCGTATAACTCCTATGTTAAAATCATCAACTTGCACAAATCCACTTTTACGTTTTCTCTCCTTGCCTGGTGTCCGAATTTTTGTACCAGTTTCTTCTGCTGCATGCTCTTCCTTAACTATTTTTGAAATTAGTCCTTGACTCACACCTGAAATATAAGATAACAAAATAAATGTTAGTAGAAATTTGAAATCTGGCAGGTTAGTTGGCTCACTCACTTAGCGGGTTACCTAATAGATGAACGTTACCGTTACGCTAACCTGCAGCAAGAATAGAAACGAATATTTCGTGGACTTAAATAATTATTTAAGTACCGGGTAATTTATAACAAGAAAGTTGACAACACTAACCTGTCGCTGCCGAAATTCGTTTGTATATTTGATTAAATGGAATAATCGGAGACCCCGCCCGAGCTTCTTCTTCAAAAAAGGTTTTAACCTTTAGAATAATGTTTCGAGCATCACTTTTAATAGCTTTCGGCATATTTAACTTAATAAATTCAGCAATATCACGACAAAACAACCAGAGAACCCAAATGTAGTAGACACTGACAATCGAATGACATTTCAACATGACGGCCCTAGTTCCAATTTTTGCCATTTCACAGTTAAGTTGGTAGGACTATACCTGTTCTGTCTATGTTGTGAGAAATAAATAAACATTTTGAATCCCATATATTATGTTCTCTTGAAAAATTTAATAACTGCATTTTATTTATATTCTAAAATGTTTTCCTTGCATTTGAGGCAGATATACCGCTTTAGTGATAAAGTTTTAATTCGCACACTTAGAAGTCGAAGGTTACAGCCACCGGGACCTAATCCTGGCTTAGATAATCGACTTAAGTCCTATGAAAGTGAAGGTCTACGTATAGAAGATGAAGACGCGGAATCTGTTGTGGAACAATCCGAAAGTGACTTCTATAATGTAAGCAATTTATTACTGATACATTTAAGGTTATTTTCAGCATTGTGCTACTTTAATTTTCTATACTTAACAGGTTGGTGAGGCATACAATGAACACATGAATGAATCACTAATGGGTAAATATGAAATGCGCCACCGTATTATAAAGGAGAAGTACTTTAAGGAAAACATGCCTAACCTATTGACATGGAGTGAAAAAGAACAAATAAGACATTTGGCGTCTACAGAACCTGATGAGTGGACACCGGAGAAGATAGCTGAAAGTTTTCCTGTCACAGTTCTTGTTGCTAAGGTAGTTCTATTATTGTCTTTAGTCATATTAACTCCACCTACAGTTGTAGTTTGATATAGATTATCCTTAATATATCACAACAAGCACCTGTTCAGTCTCTAATCCCTTGTATATCTACATATTTAATAATCCCTTAATTAACCTGATGATAGATCAGAAAGAAATTAAGTTTATTTCATAAGGATAGGATTTTATTGATTAGTAAGGGTGTCATTGAGTTGAGCCTTCGTATCTTTTTTTTTACATATTGCCATTTCAATCAAGGGACCATAAAAGTGTGCAAGTACCATTTTCATCTGTAGTGCAATCTTAATAAATACATTGTTAAAAAACCAATATACTAAATTTAAAACTTTCTATAATAAATTGTTACAGAAACTTCTTAAATATCCTTGGAAACCAGCAACAGTGCAGCGAATCGCACGGCATGACAGCTCAGTCATGCGAAATTGGAAGGAATTAAAGGAGGGTTCCATAGACATACCAGAAGATTTGAGAAAACATTTCCTTAAATTTTCTGATAGAAGCATTCCACCTTTAAATAAAGAATCTATTAAAATTGAACTCAGTGAACAAGAGAATATTGGAGAATTTGAAAGTATAATTCGTAGGTGTGCAGCTAGTGAAAAACAATCTCCAAACAATGAGCATAGGCTTGCTTTACCAGACAGTGATACTAACACACAATTTGAAACAAAACAGTTGAACAACAAGAAAGAAAACTCTAAAAGAGTTACTTTAGAGGAACTAACAACCAAAATAAAGAATCGCTTAGAAAAAGGTACTCAAGTAGATATTTCTGATAAAATTATTGTAGACACAATAAAAACTGGAGTTGTAAAAAACTCTGAAGAAATTACAAAAGAAATAGAATTATTTAATGAAAATATTCAGCAAAATAGTTTAGAAGAAGTGAAAGAGAAAAATGTAGAACCAAATGAAGTAATGAACTACCCAGAAAGGATTAGAGTACCTAAAAAAGCTTATAAGAGAGGAGCTACATACAAAGTTAATGACTGTTTTTATGATCACGATGGTAAATTTTTGTATAGAGTTCTAGGTATGTCTAATTAGGTCTAAGTCAAATATATTAGTAATTAGCTTTGAAATAAATAAAACAGTTTGTATTGAAGCCTTATATATTTTTTTATAAAAAGTATATGCATTTTATTACACTTGTCAAAATAAAATAAATCTATATTCAGTAACAGAACTCCCACAAATTAATAGCATGTCTTTTTTGATAGCTGTTTATATGTTATATTGAAATTTCGATTTCACTTAAAATTAATATACTAACAACCTTAAACGAACCTTATGTGGCTTCATTGTACAAATTTTATGGAACTAATAATATGGCTTGTAAAGAATCACATCATTATACTTTTAATTTACATTAAAACAGGATAATATATACTTGGTGTAATAATAGTATTACATACTGATAATTTATAAGCCAAGTACATATATGAAGTAGATGCGACAGCATCTCCTAAATGCAAAACAACACAAATTTGCATTATTACATGATTAAGAATAATTTTAAAATGATGTTTTTTCTTACAAAAATAAAAGGTAAAGGTATTAGTAATGAAGATAAACCCGGTTTCAAATAAAACCTCGCCGACAACCTCATTGCCAGACATGAAATATATGTATCCTGTGATGTTTAGGGGTTGCGGTATATATAGATCTTCTGATGCGCTATTTTAGTGTTTTATAAAAACTTAAATTTGTATTAATCCTCATTGAGTTGTATCACAATTCTTAATATGGGATATTTCTCATTGATACTACAAAATTAAAATTGAATGTATGTGTATAGGAATCTCTCACAACTGGGTGAATATACATAGAAAATAAAAGAGTTACTGTCGCATCTTTAATTTAAAAATTAAAATCGTTAAATAACAGCGCCATGAATTTGATCAAAATTTGACTTCGTCTTATCTAGAGTTAGTTACAATAAATAAAGTTGTATACCATTTATGTTGATATAGAACACTACTTGTTAGTATCCTGAGTATTGTTTGGAAGTTAATAGATAAATTATGTCGATAATGTATTTCATGTACACCTTCATGCATTATGTCAGCAGACGGCACTAAAATGATTGTATTTGACTACATGTTAAAATTGCCCATCGAGAATTTGTTAAATTGCCATCGAATATGTGTCATTCTTTTTTGTACCATTATCATTTATTCGTACAGTACACTAAGCACAGGCATTTAGTTTTGATTTCATTTTTACCATATTTAAAAGCATACAAAACTACTCTGAAATTGATGCAGTCAAAGACTTGACGTTGTAACGAAACAAACAAGGTAGTAAAATAACTTTATGAATATGATTTCATCATATTAACTAACTATATTGACACGTCAATGAATACTTTTGAGTTTTGGCAGTCACATTATTTACTGTTTCTGTACCATAAACATTTTTGTTGATAGGTGTTTTACTTTTAGTACTTTTAAATATCATTAATTGTTTTAAAGTCAAAAAAAAATATACATTAAATAATAAATTTCGAGATAAAACTGCTATAAAATGAATACTTTTTAGTGTTACAGGTGCCGTTTATATAAATAATGTGACTATTAACACGCACATTTCACACAATTCGTTTACGAATTCAACTGCATTACACTGGCATCACATAACTAGCGCAACGATATATTGCCCTTCGTGTTCCTTACAGCTAACATATACAACATGTCTATGTACATACAAATGTCTACGGTCGCCTTCGCCATGTCGTTAGCACCCACAATACTAAACTAATGGATATGCTAAAAAGTGAACTTACTTCAATTGATTAATGAACGATACATAAAAATATTGGGGCATTTAATGAAATTTAGGCCACAGTTCCCATCATGTCGGGCGTTACGATTCTATTTAAGAAAATGTGCTATAAGTGTACCTTGATCCCGAATGGACGGGCACCTTAAGTTCTAGTTCCAGATAATATAGTCACGATACGTATTCGATAAACTATCTCCCTTTAAATAAAATGGACGGTTCTCCTACCAGTGTTAACAAAATTGCCAAAACTACATTGTAACAAAAATACTTTTTTTTTTTTAATTCTCTATATAATTGGTGATGTCAAAATGCCTATTCAAACTTTTACAAGTTTATCAGAATTTAAAGCTAATAAAAAAATATACCTTATAAACGTGAAATATCTACTTTATACGGTATACATGCTACTCTGTAGGCAATAAATAGTGACACGTACCACCACCACTTTCGACATCATCTCGACCAAAAGTTGTTCTCACACAATAAGGCTTAGATTTTTTTTATCAAAATTTATAGAAATCTAAAACCTTTCTTATAATATTGATTATTTAGAAGTAATCCTCATTTTTTTTCTGTCAAAGTATAGGAATTACAATGTATTAAATTCTTATTTGTTTTTTATAAATCATGAACAAAAATCTACTTTGTATTTGTTTAATAAAATGGCACTTAGTGATCAACCATTGTACTTGTAATCGATATAGAATAATGTTAATTGCTTGAAATTGATGAATATGTACTTTTATGTATATCATCAGCCTAATGATGATTACAAACAATAATGTTAGTGAAAAGATAACAATAACGTTATTTAGTGAAAAAATAATATGTACTATATATTCTTCAGTTACATACTCTTGACAACTTCTAAAAGTTTGAACAAATATTTTAAACATTGAAAAAAAAAATTGCATTTTTTAAATTAAAAGTTAGGTAAGTGATGACACATGACAGCTAAAATGTTGAAACCCATTTAAATTTTCTCTCGATCACAGTATAATACTATATTACGGTACTCAAATCTCTGTACCATTATCGTCAGTCAATAACCTTATGTAAAAGATTATTTTTGTTGCATCCTGTAAGTAATGTTATAAAGGACTTATGGGTAGGTCCGTCGAAAATAAAAGCGTTTATAGCTAGTTAAGGGATCGATTAAAAAGCAGGTTTCCAGGGCAACCCTGCGTCGGTAGCAGTTTATGATAATACTTTATTCGTCGACGAGAAGTCGGAGTCGTTTGAAATAATGTCGGCAGCACACGGCGGTGTTGGAGGGCGGCAGGTCCTGCGGCCGCGCCTCGCCGCCGAGCTGCTCCAGCGCGCGGCTGTACTCGCGCTGGAGGGCTGTCAGGTCGATGTTGTGCTCGCCCAGGGCCGCCATCGCGAGGAACAGGATATCTCTGTGACGGAATCAAAAATACCTTCAAATATTTCTTCTATTTTAATAACTCCTATTCTCTTAAAAATACTGATATTCAGCCGTTACCTATAAAAGGAATGGTATCGTTTGTTATTCGATGTATTTTCTCTCCACGTTGCGAGTTTGCGAAGAGGGTCTGTCAGGTCGTTGCTCAGCAAACCGTTGAGGACCGCCAGTGCAATACTGTAAGCAAAATGTGTAGGTATATTTACCTGGTAATATCATATCGTTACTTTTCACACCGAATTATTATCTTATTACCCAATAACTTTAAGCGAGATTTAATTCCTAAAACTTTAATATTAATTGTATTCTTGTAGCTAAGCTGTATGCTTGTGTTAAAAGTGGCTTCACGGCTGTACTGCACAATGGTGGATCGAACCCGCAAACACTTGATAATAAATCCAATACTTCAAACATTACGCTATCGGTTGTTACTATAATATAGTTTTGGATAATACTCTCCGTATTTTTAATTAAGTACACATGGCATCAAACTCAAACTCAAACTCAAACTTTCTTTATTTCATAAAATTTTCAAAATTGTTTGAAATCGTCTTCCATGTAGACTCTAAAGTCATAGATCAACACACACAAAAGCAACAATCTCTGTTTTGTCAAATAGTAACCAAATAAATTTAACAAAATCAAACCCATACAAAATCTATGATATGCCTGTGCCGATCTACAACCGCCCGTTTCCAAGGGGTTGAGCCTTATGAGAAGAAAGGGCAAACAAACTCATGGCCACTCTTTTGCAATTCACAAGTAGATACAATGGCACTATTAAATATATCACAACATTGTTTTGATGTGTGCTAGTATGTCCGTTATTAAGGACTTAAAGGTGAAAAAACAACGAAGAGAAAACAAGATTAAGAAGAACAAACGAATACAAGAGAAAATGAAGTGAAACATAAAAAATAGAAAAAATAATAAAAAACATACTAGCCACACCACATTTTTACTTAAGAAAGAAATAGCCTGCGCTAATTAATCCCAAGCATTCTTGTCCTCCATGTAATCCACAATCGAGTAGTAGGCCCTCTGGCACAAGCCACGTTTTATTGCGGATTTAAATTTGTTAATACTCAACTCCTGAATATTATTTGGGATTTTATTATAAAATCGGACACATTGACCTCGAAAAGACTTGTTTATCTTTTGGAGCCTAGAGGCGGGTACAACAAATTTATTTTTATTTCTGGTATTTATGGCATGTACATCACTTTTTTTCAAAAAGCTATCTTTATTTTTGTGAACATATATTACATTTTCATAAATATATTGACTTGCCACTGTCATTATATTTATTTCTTTAAATTTCTGCCTCAACGAACAACGATTGCCTAAATTATAAAGTGCTCGAATAGCTCTCTTTTGCAGCACAAAAATGGTTTGAATGTCGGCAGCATTCCCCCACAGCAGAATACCGTACGACATTATGCTATGAAAGTAACTGAAGTAAACAAGTCGTGCTGTATCAACATCAGTCAACTCTCGGATTTTCCTTACTGCGTATGCTGCTGAGCTGAGTCTACTCGACAATTTATCAATATGTGGGCCCCACTGTAGCTTAGCATCTAGTGTTATACCTAAAAATGTCGTAGTGTCCACAAGGTCCAGCCCGACATCCTTAATTATCACAGTAGTTTTCACTGGCTTGACGTTTGGCATAGTGAAACGTATACACTTAGTTTTTTGTTCATTTAATAGTAAATTGTTGACATCAAACCAATGAACCACTTTCGAAATGGCGCTGTTTACAAATGTGAAATCAGAAAGTGTCCGTTTTAGTCTAAATAATAGTGATGTATCATCTGCAAACAACACAATCTCGAGATTGTCCTTGACAAAGTGAGGTAAGTCGTTAATATATACTAAAAACAAAAAAGGGCCGAGAATAGAACCCTGTGGAACGCCCATTTCTATCACAGAGCCTGGAGACCGCTCACCATTAATATCAACTTTTTGAATCCTATTACATAGATATGAGGCAAGTAGTTCCAGGGCTTTATTTTTGATACCATAGTGCTGTAATTTCCTGATCAGCGTTTCATGAACAACACAATCAAAAGCCTTAGATAAATCGCAAAAGATACCTAGAGAATCGTGGGCATCCTCCCAGGCATCAAATATATGTTTTACTAGCTCAACACTAGCATCAGTTGTGGAGCGACCCCTTGTAAAACCAAATTGTCTATTGTGTAATAAATTATTATTATTAAAAAAACTGTGCAACTGATCATACATAATTTTTTCAAAAATTTTACTAAATACTGGTAGTACTGAGATAGGTCTAAAGTTAGTTGGGTCAGATGTACTACCAGATTTGAATAAGGGAATAATTTTACTAGACTTCATAAGATCAGGAAATACACCACTATCAACACATTGATTAAATGTAAATGACAATTGATTAGCCACAAGAGATATAATTGTCTTAGTAATTAAAACAGAATTTCCCCATAGGTCGGTTGTTTTTTTAACATTAATAGTGTTAAAGGCTTTAATAATTTCAAAGGGGGACACATATTGGAACTTAAATTCACTATCAATTCTTCTAACATTCTCTTTTAAAATTGATTCTGCAAGGTATGGTGAGGAGTTCAAAGATTTAGTAGTTGATACAGGAATGTTAGTAAAAAAATTCTCAAATGCAGCAGCAACCTCAGCATTTGATGTGATAAATTTATTGTTTATGTTTAAATTAAATTCATTATCACGGTTTGGATCTTTGCCAGTTTCACTATTAATAATTTTCCAAGTGGTTTTAATCTTATCATTACTACTTTTAATCTTTGAACTAATAAAACGAGACTTAGCCAGTTTACAAAGTTTCCTAAACAGCTTCGAATATTCTTTAACATAATTATGAAACTGTTCACTTTTATTATAATTCCTCTCATCGTATAGCTCGTATAATCTTTTCCTACTTTTTAGTAAGCCAGGGGTAGCCCATTCACTAAATGTGGCGTTACCTTTAACCACTAGCGTTTTTGGTGTAAAAATGGTGTTAAATGTTGAAGAGAAAGTTTCAAAAAAACTATTATAATAAGTATTAGGGTTATTCTCTACACAGAGTACTGAATTATTAAAAGCAGCTTTAAGTTTATCCTTAAAGTTTTCACAACGCTTTGTGGTTTTAGGTATCACCACAATTCTTTTTTCTGACACTTTTTCATACCTATCACAGAAAGATACTAATTGACCACAGTGGTCAGAATGTAATTGATTTATTATTTTCTTGTCCTTAATAACAATATCTGTAAATATATTGTCCAAACATGTGGCAGTGGTGGCAGTGATTCGTGTAGGCTCCAAGAACAAGTTCTTCAGATTGTATGATTGAAAAAGTGCCTTGAACTTGGTTACTATACTTGAATTTTCCAATAGGTTAATATTGAAGTCACCACAGATGATGACCTTCTTTTTTGATCTTGTTACTTTAACTAATACTTCATCCATAACACGTTCAAAACAATCATACATAGCTGAAGGAGGTCTGTATACACATACTACTATGAAACCTTTTAGTTCTAAACAGGCTATTTCTGTAGTTCGCTCAACTGATAAACTAACAATGTCATGGCGCTCTTTAAATTTAAGTTTCTTATTAATGAGTATCATAGTGCCACCATGTATTGCTGTACTTCTGCTGAACGAGCTGCCTACCTGGTGGTGGTCAAAATTGAACATAAACTGATCCCCTTTTAGCCAGTGTTCAGTAATACAAAAAATATCAATTGCATTGCAGTTCATGAACAGTTCCACCTCCAAGTCTTTGCCCATCATTCCTCTAATGTTTTGATGCACCAAATTTATATTATTTATCATATTATTTTTAATAAATTTACTGTGATTGAACTTTCTATTAGTGATCAAATTAATATTGCAAGAGGTAGTCTCTATTGTCTTATCAGTAAATTTAAATTATTTGAAATGTCAATCTCATTATTATGTAAATTATTAGGTATGTCATTTAAATTTTTATTAATGTCTAAAGAAATATCTGCCAACGGATTGGCAAAGTCGCTATGGGTAATGTCAATTTGCTCAATAGAAGCAATAGTTTTAGCCAAGTTCTTGGCTGTAATGGAAAAATAATATGATAGCGAAATTGCTATCTGTCTCTTATAATAATTAGAAAGGTAATATCTACCTTTCGTCAATGAAATATTATTACTAACAAGCTTGTTAGTGTCGATTAGATGTAATTTATTACAATAGGGTCCATTTATTTGGCAAGTTAGGTTGTGCATCATTATATTTAAATTATATCTAACATTTCTTTCCTTCTGCGACAACCCTTTGCTAAGAGGAAGTGTAAACAATACAATTTTATTTACATCTAACTTTAACAATGATTCAAAGTAGCCTAAGAATTTCTTTTTGTTTACATTTCCCCTGTTACCAACAAAAATGACTAATGAAGTATTTACATTGTGGTCTGATTTGGAATTTAAAACTTTTTCCATAATATCATTAAAAGATGAGTGAGGCATGCAATAATTGCTGAATGAATGTCCCAACTGTGTATTTAACATTAAGGGACCCATGCCCTTTCCAATTTCATCACTAAACATTGCTATGTTATCATTTTTGTACAATTTGTTTGTTTGTAAATGGGAGTCCTTGAATTCAGGTACAAAAGTTCTGATAGGTTGTGGTGGCAGCGAGGAAGGAGCACGTGCTGTCCTGGGGCTGTCTATAGAATACACTGAATCATTACATTTACAGGAGTTAACCAGCCTGCCAATAGCCAGCACCTGCTCCCTGCTCTGCTTTTGGGAAATTTCATATTTATAGGTAATATTACTAAGTTGTTCTTTAAGACGGTCAATCTCACTTTGTAATTCTCTTGTATCTTTAATGTATTGACTCGACATGTTGTCTAGTTCTAATGAGTACATAGACACCTGATCAATCAGATGAAGTCTCTGCCTATTTAGTGACATACTATTAATAAAAAATTTTTGTTTGTGAATCATTTTTTTTGTTTTGGTAATTATTTTTTTAACTTTAATGTATTTTTTCAATTTTCTCAAGCTGCATTTTACAATTTTGTTAGGTTTATAAGTACAACTACTAGTATCATCGTCAGCTGTGAGATCTATTACCATAGATGGATGGAGACTGTCAACTACAGCCCGATCCAACCCCGGGGCAACCAACTCCTCGAACAAACTTTGGTTAGAAGCTACAAGGCGGTTGTGCTTATGAGTGTCGATTTTTGATATTTTTTCCTCTGCTTTCTGTAGTTGGCATTCTAGCTTCCTAATCCTTTTCAGTGCCTGCTCATACTCATCCCTACATGTATCAAAGCTGTCCACAAGGAGTTGGAGCTTGTTCCGGGCATCAACAGAAACTGTATACTGACCATGCAACAGAGACATTTCTTTTTTAAGTTTCTCATTCTCGTTTAATGTCTCAAGGACTTCCCTTTCATTGTCATCTCTTTCCCCAATGAGTTGATCACACCTCTCCTTAGTTGCCTTTAATTCGCTTAAAGTCAGTTGAAGCTTGGACTCCAATTGACGAGCCAAGGCATTACGAGTCTGAACCATGGTGTAAGGCTTTGTGAAAAGGCAAACTATTGTTAAATTATCACCAAGGAGAGTTGATATCACACAGTGGAGGGTAAGTTGAGTAGTGTCAATATAAGCGTCTTAAGAATTAACTACACTTTTACCGAAATCGTATTAAAGAAAATAATAAATAAATCAAATAGCGATACCTGTAAAGCGATGACAATAAATTCCAGGCACAATTTTCAACACTTTTTTAATGTTATTCGTAACTTGCCGGTATCCCAACCGTCACTTACAAATTTGTTTATTTACTAAAATAACATTTATGAACTATTCTTATATAATTTGTGCAAGTAGCATTTATTTGCTTAGTGAGAAATTGGTATTTAAATGATATTTTAAACAGAATATAATATTTAAAACAAAAAAATAAACGGGAGCAATTCAGAACAGCTGTTTACCGCGGGGTTGCCACAGAGCAAAAAAGTCATCATCACTACTTGAACGTCCATATACGTACGTGCGAGCGGTATAAGCGTCGTCCTCGGTGAGCAACAACGCCTGAAGCGCCCGCGAGCGTTGTTGGCGACGTCGCTGTCGCCACGCCTGCTGCAGCGTCACACCCGCCTCGCCAGGTTCACTACTCGACCATTCCCACGCGCATATTACACGACAACCACCTATTTGAAACAATAAGAATATCTAACATTAAAAATCAAGAAGTGAGAAAGTATTGAAAGATAATATAGAAAAGAAACCCCCCCCCCCTTTTCGAAGAAGACCCCTTTTCGAAATTGATACCTTAAACCGCCAATAGCCAAGTTACCGCACGCTTATCGACTTTTTCAGTTTTTTAACAACACAACTAAGCTTGAAAGTTTCAAATTAATTCAAATAAGAACTTGTGTTAATTAATTAAGGTCGATTTTTAGACCTCAGCAACCCCAAAAATTAGTTTTCGTTTATGTCGACCCCTTGGAAACTTGTTTCAACCCCAAGGACTCGATATCGATCACTTTGGGAATCCTTGACCTATACAATAGTCGGTTTAACACAAAAATGCCAAATTTAGGATTTATAACATTTTTTTTTTTTTCTTTTCGTAAGTTACCGCTACTCACGCAATATCTGGGAAGCATTGTATAAATTCCCTTGCACTTCTAGTAGTATTTTTATTAACTGATTATTAACAATTCGACCAATACTTCATTATATTTCAATGACTACTATCAATCCTATATTTCAAGTACTACTCTTTTAAATATTGTACTTACTAACTACTATGACTCAATTCTAATACTTAAGTTATTACTCAGTTAATTACAATCGTGTACAAATTTATTAAATATATTAAAAAATTGTAAATATTATATTACAAAAAAAAACTCTGTTGATAGTATTGTAAAGTCACGTCATAAGAGGAAAACCACTAACGGGCTCCTTTAAAAAACAAAATTGGGAGCTCATTGAAAGAGAAAGTAGGCAAGAAGGGAATTTAAGGTGGTATGTGTGTGTATGTGATGCATCAGCAGCCTTTAGTACACAGGACAAACCTCTTCTTACAAAAAAAGGTTTTGGTTGCCACGCTGGCCAGACAGGTTTGTTTCAAGTTTTCCTTCTCTTTGCAGTGCTGTTGTCCTGCTTAATTTGTTCCCTTACTCGGCTCTTACGACACCCACGGAATAAATAGGGGTGGTGATACTCTGTATTCTTAATCCATCACCACGCGGACATACGGACGGATATAAATACGTTTTCTATTATAGAAGCTACTTAAATAACGGACTATTGATAATCCCTCTGATTATTTTACACCAGAAACCAAAATCCAAACAGGAAATAATGTAACATGTCTCTAAAGCCAGTGTAGTAATAGAGAAGTTAACACAAAAAAGAATGACTACTGTCATTAAAATTTTATTGGAGTAGTACCATCTGTATCATAGACGTAACATACACGAAACATTCATTAAAATATAACTAGGTTGTATTTTGTAATTTTAATTATTTAATTAAAATTATAGTAAATTTTGTAATTCTACGACTAATTTTGAGAAAACTACTTTACATATCTAGTATTAATAATAAATATGACTTTACTATTGTGCCTGTAACCTTATTAATTTCCGGCTTGCATTTCGAAGTATATTCGTACGTAAGAACGACTTAAACCTCTTCTAAAAACTGAAAGGACACAAACAAATTTCACTTCAATAATAAACACTTCCATAGATGATTTACAGGAATGTTCTACAATCAACATTTATCGTATTTATGGTAAGGCACACCTGCCTAATCAGATAACCAGACCCTGGTCATATGAAAACCACTGTACATAACAACAAACTGATATCAGCTCGTTTTCTTAAGTTATTTGCATATTAATAAAAAGGTATTCCTCTTATTGAAACCAAAACATGAAGGCTAAAACGTATATCAGTGTGGATTTTTGGGTCATCAAATTTATTAGATACAATATTGTATACCTGTTCTCTCAGTGTCTTGTAACATATCCGTACTCAGATATTTGGCCTGGAAATCTGGACACAGTAGATCTGGGAGATGATTTTCTATATTAGCTCGTTCTAGGAACCACACCAAGTTCCAGTACACGATAGGGTGTGATTCAACAAAGCCAGAATCTGCCAAACACGCGTCTCCTTCTCTCCCTACAATTAAAATATTTAATACAAGTTTATTAGCTTCACTTGCAACTGAGTAACTAACAATGGAAACAAATCTTGAAAATTAAGTTTAAAAGACTGTATTGAAATTATTCTTTCTATGTACATACATATAGATAGTTCAGTCATGACAATACTATAATTTGGAGCTGACGTAATGACGGAGCTATGAGATGGATAGTGGAACTCTTCAGTCGATAATAATAAGCCCCTCGAGTTTAGGCTCATATAATTAGATTTTACGAGTCGAAAATAAAATGAATTCGAATATTCTAATTAAAATTGTACTTATCGCCTTCGAAACACTCACGATTCATAGGTGGGCTAGTTATGTGGTACATACCTAATATAGATTCGAATTCTTTCCTTAACACAAGAGGGTTTAAATAAGGCACACTCAATGTTTCAGCCGGTTTCTCGGGACGAAGTACCTGCAACAAAAGTTAACTGACAGTTTAACGAAGGTGGGGCACAGTAGATTTCTCTTAGCATAGGAAATCGCCGACTACCGAAAAAACTTGTGTTTTTACTGATTGATTAGTATAATTATATTAATTTCACTTTAATTGTTTATTAAAATTGTTCATCAGTTCGCATTATATGTAAACGCTATCCTAACCTACTTAGTCGCGTATCTTTTTTTTTTCAAGGCATATATTACTTTTATTCATAGACCTTTTGCAAGATTGCACAAGTGACATCATGTAGGTTGCAAATAGTCTCGCTCTCTATATTCAATATATACTAGAGAGCTCATGGCTGTCTAATTTCAATAAAGAAAGTTTTTTTAGTATGGCACTCTAACTCAGTTGGGAAAGATGTCTATGGGCGGTTGTAGTAACTTACCAGGGACCCGTTCGCTCGTTTACTCGATATACCATAAAAAGTACCAGGCGGCCGAGCTTTGCTTAGTTTTTTTTTGTAAAATGACGCTTCATAAACTTCAATTGCAAAATCTTTATCCAAATACAACATTTGACTAAAATCATTAGTGCAGTTTACGAGATACACGAAACGTGTATTTAATATTTTACCATTGTCCGTAAATTTCGGAACTGTTGCAACCGCCATGATCACGGATGAACACGCAGGAGCTTTCAACAGTACAGAAATGTAGGAAACGAATTACAGAACATAAAAATGATAAATATTCCGTTTCTAATAACTTTTCTAGTGAAAATGACCATGGTAGTTTGAATCAATACTACTTACTCACACCACCTTCTTCTCACTCCAACACTTTGTTATATTTTAAGAAGAGTTTACCTGCACTGAGAGCAGGGGAACAGTGTGTCGTCCGCACGCGATGCAGCGCGTGTTGAGGTTCGAGTCGTCCGCCGCCCACCCCGCCATTATATCTTCGTCGTACAGTAACGCTAGACATTGATGGCACTGGGAGCACGACGACATGCGGACCGTCACTGAGTAGTTCTCGGTGCTGGCGTTGTCCTAAATAAATACCCAATGTTTAAACTAAATTTATCTATTAACATATTATGTTACTCTTCGCTTCGCTATAAATATAATGAATAGAATAATAGGTACATCAACTCGATTGTCGACGTCGGGCGCGTTCGACGTTGCGATTGGTAAAGAGTAGTTTAGTGCGGGCCAATCATAACTCGAAAGCCGTCGATGATCTAGTTTATGTAAAATGAATATATTACCTATTCATTTTATTTATAGCGAATTTATAGCTAAAAGTTTATGAAATATATTTTTTATGATACCAATATAGTATAACACAACTCTAACTCACATTTTGCACAGGATACAAGTTGTCGGGTAGGTGAGACACTAGGGTAGCGAGAGAGCCGCGTTCCATAGCACAGGCTAGATCTGCATCACTAGAAGCTCGTCTGAATCCTACACCGGCCACCCACTCTGAAATGTTATTAAAGCATCATAGTTTCCTTTTTTTATCGTGTAGAAACCCCTGATGTGCATCACCTCAACGAGGCTAACAGTGTAGTGGTATGTTGGAATGGAACCGACATAGTGTTCCGCCACATGTGAGCCTAACTAGAAATCTAACTAGTTTCAATGGCGGCAAAATATCTTATCAGTTGACCTAAGTAAAACATTCAAACAACGACTACCGAGCATCAAGGTTAAAACTTTTTAAATATAGTCAAACTACACGAAACTAGTTACACAATTAATTTTCTACCAAAAATGACAACATTCAATGCATGCAAAAATATAAACATTCACGGAGAGTTATAATGCCATGTAATGTATGTTTCTCTGATTGGTAAATGAGATCTGTATAATTCTTGTTTAATTACGAATTGTAGAATAATGATTTCCCATGCTTCTACCAATATATTATATCGGTTAAAAAAAATCTGCAACAACTATAATATTTTTACTCCACAATCGAATAATTATAAAACTAACCTTCTGGATTCATTTCTGATGATCCATCAGTAGAGTCTTCTTCTCCAATAAAGCTGTTGAATGCACTGGTCGCATTGCCGAACGCACCCTTCACAGGCGTCGAATTGGCCGAAATGACCTCCTTCATTTCATCGAACTTCTTCGCCATACTCGTAGCAGCTGACTTTAAACTGCTAAGACCACTTTGTAGAAGTTCATTCGACCTTTTTCCCGCTATACTTGTTGGACTGAAAATTTAAAACAAACCTTTTTATTTTTTTCCTTCATTTTTGTGCCTACATTTATCCATATTTATAATTTCCTCAAATGGACCGCTTCAGATACTGCAACTATGTGTACTAAGTACAAGTAAGTAGTAACTAATTTACATGTCTATTTGTAACAAAATAACAAAACGAAAACAACCATGCTTTTTACAATACTGTGCGTTAACTTAAAATTGATAAAACATGCAAAAATATTAAATATGATTGAATCAGTCCTTCGTGATTAAGTTGAAATTGTAGCGAACGTTAACTTAAAAAATATGTTAATTAGGTATGTGTGTACGGTTGTAAGTACAATGTTAAATATGTACAATGTTGAAAGATGAATTCCCAAAGCGTTTTCAAATGATGTCTTTTTAAAGAGTTAGCTAACTGAAACGTTAATTTACAAAAGGCCACCTAAGGGCACACCCAAATTCAACGGGAATGTCGTATTCAATTGATTGAATTTTATTAATTTTTCTTTTTCTTTTTCTAGACTTTTTTCAAATTAGAATTACTTGAATGCGTGAGGCATTGAAGTTGATTTTTTTTTAAGGACAGACTGTGAAGTCGTTGGTTTTCATTTATATCCATGGCTATCCAAGCTAATTTAGACAAAGTTCATACAATAGTTAAGGACCAATTATATATTTAATTAACTCTTCTATCTTATTTTTTTATGACAGTAATAGATTTCGAAACCGTATTGTATTGTGAACGTTGGGATAGGCATGCTCACCTGAAGTAATTCTCGATCATTGCCTTTCCAAGTTTCATGTTTTCCTTGCGCAACGACAGTCTGGCGGGCGAATAGCGTCTAAGAAAACAAACAGGCTAGCGTACTGGTGTGTTGTGTGCGGTTAAACATTGCAAGTTGATTGAAAAAAATTAGAAAAATGTAGCCATTTACATTTCGAAGAACGAATTATTTAAATAAAGATGAAGGCCAAAGATCTAACTATATACTTATAACTTTGTTTTTAAATACATGGATTTCTACGTATAATTATACAGATTAGTAAGTATTTAATTATAATTGATTTGTTATTCACATTTAATATCAAACCCAATACTAAGTTTGCAAGTACTTCAAGATGTAAATGGACTTTGTAAAGGCGTAACTAAAAGAGAACTATGAAACGAAACATGCTGATCCAGATGTCTTAAACAATTTACATATATTGATTTCTGTGTAATATTTACAGCAAATGATCTTGGTACACTGCAATTTTTTTGACCTGTGTTTTTATCGCTCAGCAGTAATGGGTTAGTATTATAAAATATAAATATTAAACAATACTGCAGTTAAACTATCTCTTGCAGTACCAAGTTTATTGCAAAGTACAACAAGATTAAATATTGTGTTAGGATTTTAACATTCTGATTTCCTTTGTTAAAGCATTTAAAATCTTCAATATAAATATATTACATAACATCCTTATCATTTTAATGGTTTTAGCCTAGGGTATGTAAATGTTTATATGATTTGTGGTCAATTAGTTCGAGTGACAACTATTGTGATGTCTCTGAAGGTTTTACTTCTATGTTTTTGTAAAAACTTGTCACAAACAGAGGCCGTTATCACAGCCGTTATTATATATTGTAATATCATTTGAATAAAATCACATATGGTATCTGTTACTAATTTATAGTAATAAACGCTATACAGTAACATGATAGTAACAAAAAACAAATTATATTGTAACATAAGTGCACTGGATATATTTTTTTACTTAGTAACCAAAAAATACATCAATTAAACGAAATGTGAATTTATCAAAATGTAAATATAGACATAATCATGCGAATTACTATGACTTGTGACTTACAATGAGTAACATGAGTAAAATCAAAATCCTTACACTACTAAAGCCTTGGCATAGTACAAGAGAACATCCAATAAGCTAATAATCTGTTAGTATGGCTTACCCAAAGCTTATTTTAAGGGTGTTCCCGAGGCTCACGAGACTGGAGGACACAGTGCCTGCGGGCGCCGTCTCACTTCTGTGTAGTTTCCTGCGCATAGGAAACTATCGAGGTTATCTTGTTTCAACGGGGCGCAGCTCTAGCGATACAAGATTGTTAGCGGGCGCATTGTAAGTTTACGTTCATACGGAAATTAAAGTAATAGTAGACATACTCTTTATATATTTGCTCGGTATAAAATAAAATTGAGTAACAGCAAGTACACCAAAATGAAAGTTAGCTTATAGCAAAAAGCTAATATATATTGGTAACACAATAATAATGTTATTATCATTATAAATGCTTCCCATGTAAGAGCATGCTTCCCATATTAAACATCTACCTTTCCTAAGTGAATTGAAAAATTGTTCATCACATTTTTTTTTTCTTTTATTTTTTAAGAGACAACTATCGCACTAGGAATTTCTTCTGTGTCGCGGGGGACTTTAAACGGATACGAGGAAGCGGCGAGGTGACATTTTAGCAGTTAGAAACCAATTGAAAATCTTACTATTATTTATACATAAGAAGCATTATCTATATATTACAAACAGAAATGTAAGCCTACAGAATTTCTTTCCATGTGAACGTACTATATGCGTGCGATGTTGGAACTTTTTTTTATGGCTAACGAGCAGATAAGTCACTTGATGGTGCCGCCGCCGCCCATGAACCCCTTAAGTGTCCAGAACTAGAGGGAAGTGCCTCAGGTAATCCCACTCACTTGGTGAAAAGCACAGAAAGAATAACTTAACACCGGTTGTCTGTGGGGCTATCACTCCGGTTGGCTCTCCCACGATTATTAGCTTTCAAGAATATTCAATCTAATTTTAAAATTCTTATTTGATTAATATGAATCTAACACACACATCAAATTCCTACATAGCACGCATTTAAACACACCAGGTAATTGGAAGTAGGAATGCACTCACTCATAATTAAAGGGATTCTATGAGCTAGAAAAATACTTGCTTACTATGGTGCATGCCATTAGTATATTATTCTAATACAAAATTAAAATCAAGGGCCTTGGATATTCTAAGGTTTTGCAGAGCCTAAGTTTTTATTGGAAAAAAGTTTACTTTGGCTGCTGGATTGTTGGTAGATGAAGTAAAAGACCTCGAGCTATAATTATATCGGTAGTCGCACGAATACGGATAAGTAGCTCGTGTATTTTGTTTCGTTGGTATTATCCAGATCTTGATCCTTATTTTGTATATTATTTATATTTTTCGTAAGTAATCTCTAAGGTTTATTCAAGAACATAAAATAAGGAGATCAGAATGACCTCATGGATCCAGAGATTATACTAGTATATTCTAGTAATAGGCAAAACTCCAAAACTAATATTACACATAACCTTTACTGTGATATAACAATTATCTGTCAAACTATATATTTAAAATGTAGATTAGAATTAGGTCTATGAATACACTTCTCATTTTTCATCTATCATCGTAAAACTTATGCTGAAAGCCAATAAAGAAAAGCGATAGCACGTTAGTAAAGGAAGGTGTATACCCTGTGTATTCCGGTGGTTCGTCCTGGAAGCTATTGCTGCGGCGGTGGAACAACTTGGGGCTGACACTCAGCTCGTGCTTCGGCAGCGGCGGCTCGTCGTCTGCGGGCTGCGGCCGAGGGGAAGGAGCTTCACTCGGCTCCGGTTGACTTAACGCACCGAGAGGATCGTCGCTCAGTACTGGTGTACGAGCTGATACTCTAAGAAAATTAAATTTAAAATACAATACCTACTTATTCTATATACTACTAGCTGACGCGCCAAACGTTTTGCCATATACATTATTTCAATTATTATTTTTGTCAAAATCAAAAAGATTAGGGGTATGAAAAATAGATGTTGGCCGATTCTCACACCTACCCGATATGCAAACAAAATTTCACGAAAATCGGTAGAGCCGTTTCGGAGGAGTTCAACCACGCACACCGTGACACGAGAATTTTATATATTAGATTATTTTTACATATTAATATCCATTTTTAAATACCAAAATTTGTAGTCTAAATAAAGTCTTCCAGGCATAACGACTTAAGGTAACAAAGATGTTAAATTTTCGGGAGACAACCACTCACTCACCCTCACTTGAAACTCCACAAAAATGAGCACTTTGATGTTTAATATTGCGCAAACGCAACACTTATTCAAAATAGTCTACAACCCCTAAAGCTTTTGAAAGAAATACCCGATGAATCCCTACACTATGGAGAAAAAATCACCTCCACTATACGTGAACAAGGGTGGTACCGAAAATTTTACCTAAATCATTTTACCACTTAGTGGAACTAATAAGCTGTAATTCTGCACGGGTATTAAGTCTCAAAGCCAAGCGGCAGACAGATAGACATGGCGAAACTATTAGGGTTCCTTGTTAGGACTATGTAACATGATAAACTGTAAACATACTTGAGCGGTGAAGCCTTATTCGCGTCTGGTTTCTCTGCCGATGTGGTTTCTATTTCAGACTCTTCGGGGAAACTCAACGCTCTTGAACATCTTGATTTCGATGTCGGTGTACCCGCTAAAATTGACATGATGGCATTAATAGTCATATTAAACACCTTTTAAATAAATAATACTTGCCACAAGTATACATACCATTGGAAAATGTAAGCCTCTGAATATTTTGAACTATCTGCGCATCTCCGGCAAAACTCTCTGATCGTGTTAATATACGAAGATCCGATGGACTGTCAGGACTTACATGTATAGGCTGTAATTAAAATAGGGAATGTATTTTATCGGCTTAGATCTGTTTCTTATCGGCATTTAATTGTAGAAAAAAAAAACAATATTTATCACAATATTCACCATACCATATCGAATCCGTAATTTTACCAGCTAAATATGAACATTTTTGATAAAGTCTATATGGTATACATAGAGTATATTTTTATCTAAAACTTCTTCTTCAGTACTAATAAATGAATAATTTATTTATAGATGTTAAAGTCGCGTACAAAAATGTACCTGTATCTTTTCTGGTATCGTAATGGGAGCGCTGGAATCGTCGTTACATAGAGAATTACTTCTCGGTCTTGATGATTGACTTAAATCAGGATTTGACGGTACACCTGACAGTACAAAAATATATTATTACTAAATACAACAACCTAATAATGCATTTATAAAGTACTCATTAAATAAATGGAAAGTAGAATTTATAGATAATTAAGTATGTACTACCATAATATATGTATTATGGTGGTGTATTATGGTAAAATAATAATTTAAAATAAAATATATTTATATTTTATTTTAAATTATTATTTCTACTATGGATCATTCCTAAGTCCGGGCTACGTATATTAGGCTACTATAGTCCATCTAATCTAAGAAGAATCCGTTTGACAGATTGAAGAATAAGGATACTTAAGAGATCTCGAAATCATTTCTTTGTATTTTCATTTGATTACAGTTTTACAGATTTATGTATGTTACTGTAAAAGCCCGTGTATTGGTATATCTTAAGTTTCTTAAGTTTCACTAGTAAATTTTAGTATACACACTATTACTTAGACACAAGCGATATTTGCTACCTACAAAGTTTTATTTATAGTAACAATGACTTACATATTATTCATTTTAATTAAGAGTTTTCGCTAACCATCGGCTGTCAGCTGAAATTTAAGCATGATTAAATACTAAAAGACGCCAGGATTGAAAACAGCTCGTTATACATAAGTTCGATTATTTGTACATTTTAACGATTATTCGTATACAAGTGAATTTGAAGAGTCGCAACACTACGGTAAAAACCCTAACCACGTGACTTTGAAATAAGGTCTTCAAAAAAGCTTTGAATTTATATTTTGTCATTAAGAATTGTACCTCTTTTGATAAAATAGAAATAGCTTCATAATAGGTTTTGCGGAAAGGGTTATTAAAATTGTGTGAGTTACGCCAATACAAAGATGTAAAGTATAAAACGTCAAACGGTACCTCTTAGATGAGTTGGACTATAGGTAATAGCTAAGTAGTTGCAGACGAGATGGCGGAAGTACCTTAACCAATAGTACACCTCCTTAAGTTCAAGTATTCTTAGTGTAACATAAAGAATAATATTTATTTATTTATCTATATATATGTGTGTGTGTAATTATATTACATTATGTGTATATATGTGTAATTGTATAATATGTGTAAATTTAGTGTATCGGTAGGCGCGGGTGGGTACCAGAGATGAGTATCCCGGCGGTGGCGCAGAGCGCGTGCGCGTGTGTGTGCGCGTGCGAGTGCGGCGTGGCGCGCACGATGTGTCCGCGCCGCACCAGCGCCTCGAACGCGCCGCGCCGCGCCTCCGCAGAGCGACAGCTGCCTGAGGGGAAAAGGTACTATCTTACTTAATACAGCGAATGTTCACACCCAACATTCTCTAATGTCAATATACACACATTTGAAAATTACGAATTTGAAATATTGTGTGACTCTATTTACATTTTATAAAAAAAAGAATTACATCGAATACACTGAATATACAGTTTAATACTAGTTGTTTTAGTTCTAGCGTGAATACCGGAGTCGAGGCTGGTCCTGCTGTGGGCGGGTTCGCAGGTGGCGAGCCCAGCGAGGTTGGCCAACTCGCCCCCCTCGCCGCCCTCGCCGACCGCCGCCGCAGAACGAACCCGTGGCAACGTGCTGCTGCCTGCAACATCACACAAACGTTCATGTACCATAATTGCATATATGCAAGCAACAAAAGAGCGTAACTTGTTCCTAAAAGGCCGGAAACGCGTTTGTGACTCTGAGTTGCAGACGTTCATGGGTGACAATGATCACTTTTCATCAGGTGACCCGTCTGCTAGTCTGCCCCCTCTAACATAAAAAAAACCATTAAAAAGTTAACGTCAACGTTTTAGTTCAATCTGGTTTGTCTAAATTACTACTGCTACAAGAACAAGTGAGTAATTAATGTACCTGATTAAAAATACAATACAGACTTACTTTTAAATACAAAATAATTCGCCTCGCAAAGAAAACAACGTCTACGATTAAAAATCTAAATGATACAGGGACTAAATGCTGCACTTACTGCCGGCCGAGACAGAGTTAAGCGTGGCGCCCGCGGCCCTGCTGGCTCTCTGCGCGCCCGCCTTGCGGAACAATGCCGCGCCCACTACCGCGATACGAAGCTTATTCCATAGAAGTTGTGCTCCACTGTTACAAAATAAACATCGCATTAAAAACACAATTCCACTAACTTGCTTGTTCTTACATGGTACGACTTACAATAAACCTATACAAGATTTATTATACTATTGTATTGTAAACATTACTTACCTGCTCTAATGTTGTTAGTACATAATTATCGGAAATAGATTACCTAGGCATATCCTTAGGCCACGTAGCTTCTAGGACACAGCGGTTGTAATATCCGTAAGTGAGAGCATTTGGTAGTAGACCGGCTCTCTTCATCAAAAATAGAAGTTGTACGGCCAATACGGGTAAAGAATGATTACCGCAAAGCTGCATCATGACACGGTAACACACCTGTACAAAATAAAAGACCTTCTATTTGCTTTGATTACACCAATTTTTTATGTTCAAATAGAATTAGAAAAAGTATTTTACACCGTTACAGAACAGAACACGTAACCGAGAAAATTTAACAAATTTTTAATTGGGAACAAAGCGATGAAGTTATAGTCTGACGCAAACTTAATGGCGGCCCAGAACATTATGCGTTTCGATGCGCAGAACACAATAATAGACAACAGCGGGACGTACAGGAGCGAGGGGCAGGGCGACACACGACACACATGCCTTTTAGTGAGCGAGTTACATCCGTACACTGCACATGCGTGCATGTTCCTGTCTATGCACACCTGTGTGCGCAGCTAACTTCAGAGCCACCATTAAGTTGTGGAGCCTTGACGGATCGGGCCACCAACAAAAGACTTACTTAACTTTTCTGAGGGGCCGGGGTATCACTCCTACCCACGAATCCTCCCACGAGCCAGCCATTAAGTCGAGACGGCTCATATGTGCCAAAGCATGGCTGATCTCTCATACCTTGTTGTAATTATAACCATATTTAGTTAACCCTAACTATTTATAGTTATAAAACTTACCTCATCACAAGGCACTTTGAGTTTAGTAGCTCGCTCTAACAGTTCAAACGCAGCCCGCAGCGTCGCATGTTCTCTGCCTCGGTTCAATATCATTCGACACGGTAACGATAGAAAATACAGCGAGTAGCAAGCACCTAGTAGACACTTCGCCCACGCCTCTGCAGATAAAGACGCTTTGCGGGCTACTCTGCAATGGAAATTTAAAACAGATAATGCAAAATTTGAGATTATTAGGCGGATTGCTCATGACTAATTAATTAAAACCAATAAAATGCATAATAGGACAATGTAATACAAAGACAACAGACAAATAAAGACTATCCGTTCCCTGCAGTTAAAGCAGTCGCCGCAATAGCAAAAATACTTTAAGTATTTTTTTATTCTAACGAATAGTTTCAACAAAAGCATTGAATTTTGAGCTATCATACATCGGTGTAGAAATATAGATACGATATTTTTTTATTCATTACTAAACATCATCAGCAAAACAAACCAGTTTCGATGATCTTAAACGTAAATCAATTTTATTGACGTAAATTTTAACAAGAAAAGAACCGAAGGGGCAATATCTGTAGTAGTAATCTATGGTCACTGTCGGTCACAGCGGGGTCAACGGCGTACCTCATGGCGGCGGCTATCTCGTTCTTGGTGCGGCGCGCCATGGGCTCGGCGTCGTTGAGCGACTCGGCCGAGTGCAGCGCGGCGGGCGGCAGCGCGTGCAGCGCCGCGGCGCGGGCGCGCCCGCCGCAACACGACATCAACTTCTCGTCTAACTCGAAAACGTCGTAACTGTATGTCGCTTCTGTAAAACATATTGCATCTGATTACTACTGTCTTGATTTTTAAATATGTCTATAGTTCCATTCGCGTTTAGAAAATAGTGCTTTCGTACGAAATTATAATTTCTTGGAACCTGATTGCGCAGGGGGCGGGGCTTGATTGATACGTTTTTCAATTCGATCGATCGTACATTATTTTCAAAACGCGAATGGATTATGGTATATTATGGAATATGGTATACTAATTGTGGTCAGGGAACTGTTGATATTTGTATGCTATTCATTTCATAATAAACAGCGACCTGTTCGGTAGTTTCCCCTTACGATACAAAAGTAAGAATTTAAAAAACGGCAGATGTCTAATTAAGGAGTATTTCCAATGCAAAAAGCTCTTTATTAGTATCCTATTGAATACATAAATTACAAACTTTGCACACATTTTACGTCCAGAGAACATTTTTCTTTTGGTAACTAAAATTGTGACTTTTATAACGTTATACATCTATTTATTATGTAAACAATAATCTTACCAGGATCAGGTGGATCCGGTGGCAAAACAAATGCAGTCCTTTCTGAAGCGTTACTCGTGTCCATACTTAAGAGTTTGTCGTCTCCTGCAGCGACTCTCTCTATGCATTCATCAAAGAATGTTAACCCTTGATCTGGCTCGTACACGAATGATCGCTCTTCGATGAAACGCGTGAACATTTGCGTTCGCATCATTAGGCTAAAGAAACGTTGTTGCGTCTGTGAATAATCCGAGAATACGAACTATTTATTAACATTAAATTATCGACTAATACCATAAGTTTCATAACTGACCATTTTTTTTAAGAAGTGATTCGTGCGGTGACGGATTAAGAATACGGAGTATCATCACCCCTATTCATCCCATGGGTGTCAACAAGCAACGGCATGTTAAAGGCTGCTAAGTTTTTACGTAAAAAACAATAAACTTAAAACTACAGACTCGAAACTAACCTTATCTCTAGATTTCAGAAAGGCATCCATTTGAAACAAAGCGTGCGGGTCGGTGGTACCAACAGTGGGAGCTCTCGTTATAGGAATAAGGTGGTCTCGATAGCCTTGTAACGTCACTGCCATGAACTTTAGGAAAGCTTCTTGAATTTTAAGCTCAAGTGCTTGCTAAAAAAAATAAGAAAAAGTAAATCATTAGTGGGCGTCTTGTTTAGTTGAAGACTTTTACAAAGCCATTGGCATTGCTTTTAATGTGTTAAAAAAAAATACGTACATATTTTCTGTTTCAAAGAATCGGTTACTCGTTACCAAAAAAACAGTATTTTAATATAATGATAAGATAATATTATTATGTGATTCAAAATATAAAATATCAATACCTCATTTTTCCTTTTTTGAAAATCTCTATCTAAGCTTGTTGTTGGTTCTCCATTGTATTTACTTTCACTAGATTGATGAACTGGTGAGGCTTAAAATAAAGATGATTATCGGTAATTATAATGTAATAAAAAAACTGTAATGGCTGACTTATGCAATAAATATACTGTTTTTATTACTTTTAAATACTACTAGTAGTATACTATAAAAACTTTATTTACCTGGCCTGATGCTTGCGTATAAAACTTCTAGCGTGTGTCGTAGTATTCTCGCTTGCCGTTTCGGTAATAGTTTTAACGAAATATGTTGTTGTGATTCACATATCTGTAAAAGATGCATTACTTAATTGCTATCAACGTTTTATGTCACTTAAGTATTATTAGCGTTTTATAATAATAAATATAAATATCAGAATCACAAAATATTATTACTTGAAGAAACAAATATCCGCAAATACAAAATTCAGGGAGCGATCACAGCTACGATTACTGAGCAATTAACTGAACATCTACTAGGTATCACGTTTTACAAAATATTCTAAGCTTTGAGTCGCGTAAAATGATTACGTTTTAAGTCAGGACTAGCTTCAGTTCTGTGATTTATTTGTGTAAAATTTCTATTCAGTTGACTTCAAATTAATGTTTGTATTCTTCTTGCATTGCTACTAGTTACATAAGTAGGATAAATATAGAGTATGAATTACTAGCATGAAGATTAATTAATGTTTTTTCGTTCAACTTATTCCAAATTATACACAGCCATATCCCGACAGTCGTTAACATTAATTGAGTCAAGGAATAGTTGTAGTACCTTCTTAAACTCTACTAATAGTAGTATTAACTAACCGTTATATTATTGGTATCTAAATCGACACACGTCACGTCCGGTGGGGGTTCGTACAAATCAAAAAATCTTGAATCTACGCCGATGAGGTATGGCAATGGAGCATGTAATACTTCAGCTAAACCTGTAACATAATATTAAAAGGAATAAGGTTTAACATGTAATGTCTATGTCATGGATATAATAATATGATAATGTTGACTGTATATTTGACACACATAGATAAAGCTTACATGTTTAAAATAAATATGTATCTTTATAAAATGAATTTTCATCTTCTCGAAATTCTATTACACAGACAATACTGCAACTCCTAGAAGGTATTAATATTGTTCATTAAATTAAAATTAACATCTTAAATAAATATATAATAGGTGAAGTGAAATTATTTAATGCGTTAGAGCGAGATCACAACTGACCTTGCAACGGTGCAACGCGTCGGCGGCCACTTGCCCCCCCCCTCCCCTTAAGATGAGCAGGACTTACCCCCTCTGATACCTAAAGGTGCGTTTTGCAGCGCTAGTCGCGCGAACTTCGTTGGCGCAGAGTTATTTGGGGCGTACTATACTAAGCGAGACTAATACTGTTTTATAGATTGCGTTATATGACGTGGCCGTTTCAGTCTTTCCCTTCAGGGACGAAAGACGTATTTATTAATAAAAATATACCTATAACTCACCTAGAGGGCACAGTGGTATGTAGGGACACTGCCATTTGAATGGGAACAGTAGTGTTGATACAGCTTCTGAGACAGCTGTTAAAGTATCAGGTCTATAGAAAACAAAATGCACAATTAGTATATTGTCTAAATAACCTTGGCTTGGTGTTCTTTGTGTCCGTTTAATGTATGTTTGTTAAGTCCCCGTGACACAGGATACAATCCTAGTGCGGGAATTGTAAAAAAAAAAAGAAAAAAAGAAACCTTTCCATTGTGTTATTATTTTAAAAAGTGGACGAGCAGAAGAGCTATGTTATACTGAATTTCTTTAATTGATTTCAAGTATTTAAACTGCCTCAGTGGTGCAGTGTCAGCGTATGCGACTGCTGTGCTGAGGTCTTAGGTTCGATACCCTAATTGGAACAAACGTTAGTATGATCTGCAAATGTTTGTTTCGGAGTTTGGGTGTTTTCTATGTATAATATGTATGTATTTAAAAAAAAGGTATATTTAAGTATTCTATTAGTCAATCTAGTTTTCATAGTACAAGCTCTGCAATTTGAAACTAAATGGCGTTGTGTGTCAGATGTAGTCTTGTTTTTACAAAACGAGGGCTACTAAGGGTAGATTGTGTTCGTAAATACTTAGACGCTACTTAGTTAAAGTAAAGAAGTAGATTGCCCTTCGCAATAAGGCCACTCTTTACTACACTACATTACATTTGACATGGTGATATACATGACATATCTAAAAATTGTATATTAATAAAGAGTTCCTATTTATCTATCTAAGATAGTATTTTAACCACCTTATATATCCAATGGCATTCCTCATTCGCCCTACCCTTGACAGAGTACCCTAAATTTAAATAATAATATAAAAGTATATAATATTACTAATAATTTATTTAAAGTTACCTTAGCGAGTGTATTAAAATTTTTTGTTCGGTGATAGCGAGCGCGAGAACCAGGAGACAGTTGTCCTGCCCTAAATTTAATAAGAGTTGTCTAAAGCTGGCCCCGCTTCGCACCAAAGGTTGGTCATCACGCCGCGTTAGTATCACCCGGTCGTGTTGATTTGTTGGTGATAGCTGTAATATGAAAATCATAGTGAGCTGGCCTGTCTCTCTTCTTACAGAATAATACCATGGGAAACTTGCTTACTTGTAGTAGTATTCTTGGTTCAGGAAAGGGTACTTCTTCTATTAAATGTGTGATATACCTTTCAACAGGAATATTTAAAGGTTCTTGACTCCAAGACATTTCCTGAAATTATGAAAGAAAATCAAACTTTGGACATTCAGTTCAGATTACCCTAATTTTGAAATGTTATGTAAAAAACGCATGAAGAAACATTTTGATTTAATTCGGTATTGTATCAATTTTCTGTTACCAAAATAAAATCTTTCTAGTACTAACAATCTCCAATGTAAGTCACGTACAGACAGACATGGCGAAAAGAGTTCCTTATTAAGATTACGCTCCCGTAGAAACGAACATCTATCGATAAAACGTAATAACTCTTACCAGTATATACAATAGCCATTTTTCAAAAGTATCACTAAACGGCCATCTTGACAACAAACAAATACATTTGATTGCATGCACTGAGTGCGTCGCTTGTGAGACGCCCTCGCGCCACCCGAGGTGCTCCATTTGATACTCTGTGAGGCGAGAGTGGGGGTAGTTCTCGTAGAAAGTTACTGCTGAGCCATACACCTGTAAACAGAACAAAAAGGGTTACATCATCAAAAGCCTTTAATAGTCCATTACTGGACATATGCCTCTCCTAAAAGTTACATGATTAAGTTTAATTTTAACACCTAAACAAAGCGCAAGTCAATCGAAAATTAAAAATCTATTGATAATTATTAATTTACATTTATAAAAAAGAAAACAGATCCGGGAGACATGTTTGCGAAAATGTCATTTGTGAAATGTCACTGATTTTTAAGCTTTAAAACAGTTGCGTCTTGTAGTGGAAGTCGTTAATTTATTTTAAAAAATAGTAACCATGTTCTGAGTTCTGTAAAATGACGTAAAGTATAACGAAAACGGTATCATAAAATGTTGCCATTGGCTGACTGACTGACTTTAAGTCTAAAAAAATATTATAGTACCTTATAAGTGGCATCAGCAACAGTGAGTACAAATGTAGAAAATACGGGTTTAGGTGTAGCCGCATTGTTAGGCCAGAGTTCAAGCGTGGCTCCCATTGGCAAACAAAACAAAGGCACTGATGTTGGAAACAATAGATTTCTTCGTTCTGTTGTGGGATATCTGTAAGCATACAATGAAAATGACCACATGTATTACTTTTACAATACTTTGGCTACGGCAGAGACCTTGCAGACTCGAGTAAGCAGAGCAAACGCACAGTGTGTGTGTATAACGAAGTTATATCTAAAACAGTATGTCGCACTCAAAATGCCGACATACTGTTTTAGATATAACTTCGTCGTAGATAAAGCCATAGGCCTTAACTTGCAGTAACAAAAAGAACGTAATATGACTTGGCATATTCAGAAATTACATTCCGGAATCAGGAATTAAATTGTATTTAAAAAATTATTGCATGTTAAAGTAACTTAATTTTGTCACTAACTTACTCATCGGTCATCAAAACTATAAGGTATTTCTAGTACACACAAGCTTTGGAGTATACAACCGAAATAAATGTCCCGATTTTTTTATATTTTAAATGCATAAGTAAAGGTTCGCTGTCCAGGTTTTAAAATTGATACGTAATTCTTCGTAACACCCGTGTGAATTTTGTTTGGAAGAGACATGATGTACTCATGTCTATTTCTTGGGGGACTCAATTTACAACATACCAAAGACGTATAGAGCACTGGTACACATCTTGAAGGATCAGTAACCTACTTGATTTACCATGAAACATTGAAAACTTTGCTAATGTTGCTAATGAACTTAGCACCATTAATGCGCCAGCTGAAGAATAGCCCAGTAGAAATACCGTTATCATTGCTAATTACTTTATAGGTGATCACAGCACACGCAGTTTCTCTGTGTTTACTAAGATTTGCCTTACACAGGTAAATCGAAAACATATTATAAGAAAAAAATACTTTAGAAGTTCTAAAATTGTATTGCTAAAATTGTATTATTATATTAAAATTGCTATCTCCTAGATATCTCGATTACATAAGACAACATGAAAAAATCTTTAGTATTTTCTTGGTACTAACGATTAAGGTGAATTTAAAATAAATAGATAACAAGATTGTATAATTACAAGAAACTTGTGCATATATTATAACTAGTTAATAGAAAAATAATCCTAACTTTGGGATTGGGACTATGCCTTAAAAAAATACATAATTTGTAAAAAACGGATATTTTGAAATCAAAATTTGGTGTCAAACTTCAAAAAGGCATATCGATTCATAAAAAAAAAAAACAAATATGTATAGGTATAAAAAATATAAATGTCTTAAGAATGTGAATTTATTGAAGTCTCGAAGTTACGGCACGGCAAGAGTTACTCATCGCATCATTAAAAAAATACAGGTTTATTATAAAATCAAATACTAATAAATATTGTTTACAGTGACTTCTATTATTTATTTACGATGGAAAACACATATTTTAATAGTAAAAAGCATAATATATGTTTCTGACAGAAAAAAAACTCAATCACATTTGACGGATTGGATTAAAAGTATCTATCTAAAACAATGCTTATGTTTTAAACTATTATGTCATTCCAATATATTGCTAGTTCTTTTCATTTTAAAGTTTATTTTGTTTTAGATGTCGAGTTCTAAGGCAGTCAGTCAGGCATCAGTTCATTAAAACATAATGATCATAATAAATTATCTTATCATACCTGAATAACACTTCGGGTTTGTAAGCAATTAGTGGAGGACGGTTCATTGACTTTTTGTAACATAAAAATACACTGCTGCCTACGAGACCTGCAAAACAGTAAAATAAATGTATTAACTCATATATTCTATATCTTTATGATTAGGTATTTAATGCTTTACAACAGTGAATAGTAGTAATCTTTTACTATGCAAAGCAGTAAGACTGGAACAACTTGCCTGAAGCAATCCGACAAGCTAAACCCTTGCCCGTTTTTAAAAAACTATTAAAGGATAAAAATCCTAACAGTATTTATAATGACAGATAAAAATCTGTCATTATAAATACTGTTAGATTCACTATATAATCTTTTATATATTCAAAATATGTAGTGCGTATGTATGAATGTTTGTATATGTGTAATGTGCATAGATGTATATTCATGTATGAATGTACTAGCTGACCCGCGCAACTTCGTCTGCGTCTCACAATAGTAATAAATTTTCTCCGTTTTTGAAACATTCTTCATTAGTGCTCCGCTCCTATTAGTCTTAGCGTGATGATATATAGCCTATAGCCTTCCTCGATAAATGGGCTATCTAACACTGAAAGAATTTTTCAAATCGGACCAGTAGTTCCTGAGATTAGCGCGTTCAAACAAACAAACAAACAAACAAACTCTTCAGCTTTATAATATTAGTATAGATTTGTTGATATACTCGTATTACATTTTTCACCTGATAATGTGTTACGTGTATGTTTACTACCCTAAACTGTTAAATACTTAAAATGCGTGTTAAGGTTGCCAGAAAGAGATCGCTGTGAGCGATAAGACCGCCGATTGTTACGTCTACTTATTTGTAACTCATCTTTTGTTATTTTCTTTTAGAGCGTATACAATAAAGATATAAATAAAAAAAATATAAAATGTTATTTGGTAATTAAGGTAATTGAAATAAGCCATATTCTACGGTGTACGCTCTAAACAAACGAGACCGTATGTTGGTTCAGTAACTTACATTTAGTACATTGATTCTTTTTTTTTTTTAAGACAATTCCAGCACTTACAACCATTTATAAAACGGACACCAAGAATACCCAGACTTAGAAAAACAATTTGTTGTTCACACAAAGTGTTGCCCCATGTGGGGATCGAACCCACAACATTCAGGGCAGTAGGAAGCAGCGAGGTGGCCGTTTAAACCACTACGCCATTCATGCAATCGAAAGTAACACTAGTATAATTGTGGGCAAACAACTTGAACATTGGGAGACGTAGTGGGGGAAAGTTTGCGCATGTACACTTGAGAGCATAACAATAACAACTCTCTTTTTTTTGTATGTATTAATTACTTTATTTAATATCTTAAATAAAATATTAGATATTAAATAAAGTAAAAAAAAACATTTATTGTTAAAAGTAACGATAAATTATTTATTAGGCTGCTATGCGGGACGGGCACGCCGTCATCGCGGCGGTAAGACCCGTTATGGAGGATTGGCTCGAGAGGCGTCACGGGACCCTCTCATACCGACTGACGCAGGTGATCTCACTGGGAAAGGTTGTTTCGGGGATCACCTGTGTCTGATCCGCAAGGAGCCTACGCCTAGTGGTGGCAACCACTACGATGGCCAGACCGTGGACACGGCTCTCCACACGCTGGCAGAGTGCCCGGCGTGGGTTGAGCAGAGCCGAGACCTCGTGGCGGCCATCGGAGTGGGAGTTCTCTCGCTCGATAGCCTGATTGCGGCTATCGTGCGGAGCGAGAGTGCGTGGAACTCTGCCGTCTCCTTCTGCGAGCAAGTTATGCTCCCGAAGGAGACGGCGGAGCCGGATCGGGAGAGGTCTGGAACTCTCCTGGCCCGCCAGGCCCGGGAACGGGCCAGGTACCGCAGGCGACTCAGGCGCTCCTCCTTAAGTGCAGGCCTGGGGGTGACAGGTGAGGCCATCTGTCACCCTAGCAGAAGCAGGCCGGGGTGTTGGCGAGCGCGTTGCGAAGCGCGCTCGCTTCCAGGGAGCAGAGGGAACATGGGGTTCCCACACGGGGGAGGTCGTCTACTCGTCTGTAGATGGCCCGAGGTATGTCGGGGCACCAAGGACTTCCTTTCTAGGGTATACCTGGTTCCCCGGCTATTAGTACCCGAGACGGCGTGCGGTTTTAGTCGGTTCGAGTCCGACATGACACCGATAGGTGGTATCCGAGAGGATTTCCGCAGGGATAAAAAATTAAATAAAAAAGGCTGCTATGCGGGCGAAACCCGCCTTTGGTTTGATAAATACATTTTCTTGATCTTAAAATTTACTCTTGAGGTAAGCAAGATATTCCTTCGATTAGCTGCAAACTAGCAGAAGCAGAACTGGTGCTAGGCATAGGTTCCGAGAAAATAGGGCTGTGGATAGGAGTGATTTCATCATCGTCATCGTCGAGTTTTTGGGTTCGTTCAATATTCGTACACCATTTTTCTGGCTTGTCTCTTCAAAACTATATTAATTTGACGTGACACTGTATATATGTTATAAACAACAAATTTTAATACAAATAAAAACTCAACAATAACATCGGAACAATGCACTCGAGTGTACTCTAAGGACAACGGGCCGCGGACGCAGCGGCAGAGGCGAAGGACGACTAATCTACCAATGACACGATCGAAACGACAGTTCCCGCCGTCGCACCGCAAAACCAAAGAGATCTAAAATACGTTTCAGCGCATTCAAGGATGTCCTTGAATGCGCTGAAACGTATTGCGTATAACGCTTGATGATTTTCAAGATGTTTGCCGGTGACTATACAAAAACTTGTAGCATTATAGCTTACCCTTATTCAAATTCTTAGGTATCATACAAAACGCATGGGGTGGGCACTCTCCTTTATTCGTGATTATCACACAGACATCGACAACGACAAGAGCATTGCAAGGAGCTCCTGAATGCGCTCGTCTGTACGTGATGAAGGTTTTGGCGGTAGAGTTGTTAACGTTGGCGAGACGACCGCCGACGGAGACAAGAACCATCTCAGCATCAGCCATGAGACGCTCTTTGCCGTCGTACATGACACCTGAAACACAACACAATTTCATAGATTTACTTGAGAAGGCTGGCGTTGTTCAGCTCGCTATTAAACAAAATTCTGTGTCGTGCTCTCATAAAGAGATTCACTTAATACAAATATTTCAGCTAAAGTATAGTGAGACTTCTACCCGGATTGTACTATATCATAATATTTAATAGCTACAAGATCTCAATATATAAATAACATAATTCAAGCTGAAGTATAAAATTGAGAATAACCCAATTTAATTCGATAATCATTTTGAATTAATTATAAACTAAACTTTTATTTTATGTAATTGCCTAATAAAAAATGTAGCTATGGTGCTAAGAAGAAAAATAAGATAATCGCGTTATCTTTCGTGTTAAAGTCAATGTCACTACTAACTATCATTTTATTCTAATAGATATTTGAATTCTCTCGAGTTATCGTTCGGCTCTGTTGCACACCTACAGAGGTAATAAAAACTCTTGGAATAAATTTAGAACAACTACCAATGTCCATTGTAATACAAAAGTTAAATACAAGGCTCAATATTTGCTATATATTCAATAGCAAAAAGTAAAGCAATAGAATCGAAAAAACATCGATATTTTAAACTAGAACACACATCCGCAAGTGCATTATTCTATTAAGGAAGAAAAAATACCGATCACTGGGCGGTCCATTTGTAAGATTACTATTCACCTATCGCCCCTGAGAGTATACCGACCAGCAATGTTTAACAGTTTAACCTACGTTTATAGCTGAGTTCTGAGAAATGACTTTGCTATAGTGCGAAACACAGTGCTCAAATTTATCATCCAATATTTAATCCCAAAAAAATTATCAATTGCAGTGTTAAACATAACTAGCAATAATTTTTATCTGTGCTTACATGGGTGTTTTATGGATTTAATTTTGCATTTTCCTTATATTTTATCGGTTTTACCAACTCAATATTAGAATTGGTCAATAAGTAGTTATTAAGGTACGTTCTTTAATTTTTTTCCATAGGTGTGTGGCAGTAAATCGTTAAAAGTTTTGTAAAGTCAAGCAATATAAAAAACGTTGTAGGAACACACCTTGTAGTTAAGGATATGACTAATATACTTTAGTTCACAATACCGTACACAAAAAGTATCAATAAAGATTGTTGCAAAAAGTTATAGTTAAATTTTGAACTAAATGGAGCGCGATAAAAAATGTTGCATGAAGGCTCTTATCTCATTTACTTAGTTGGCGGTTATCGCAATCAGCTATACTTATACTATGACGTGTCTCATAATATTAATACAAATTGGTGGTAATGTGATGGATATCTTATTTTGCGCTAGTATTACTCTACGTTGAACCGTTGCTCGACGGTAACGATCAGTACTAAGTTCATGTTTGGTACTAATTAGTTTTAGTAAGGTAGATAATAATCGACATAATGCATTAATGAAATCCAATCTAATCCACGCGATAATAATATTTCGTATACTTCTAACGTTACTAAAATGCCTCTATCTATAGGTTTAGGCCTTGCTACTTGTTTAATAGTAAAATGTCAAACGAACATAATGAAATATTCATAACATGGCCAGTTCGCCTCCAAGCCTATACTGCAAATTTGATGATTTAGTTTTAACATTTTGTCATCGCGTATGGCAAATCTGACAGAAAGAATGCTAGGATTTCAACAAAATGCAGTTTCTTAGAGACAGTGCACAATGTGATTGCTTTTCGAGAGGAGTTCTAGGAGGAACAAAATAAAAGAAGCACATTATAATTATTTTTTATAGATTACGTTGACGTAATATAATATATAGTGTATATTTACAAGCACAGATAATATTACGATATCTTTAAAACAGTGACGAAGGCCTCTCCCGTTTACGCGGAGGGCCCAACCATCTTTGATGTCCTTTACCTTAAGTACAGTTGCCAGCTTCATCAACCAGGCTTTTATTACCATAATAATAATATATTCATAACTTACCGATATCGACGAGTGGCGCTCGATCTCTCCCGCGGCGTATGCAAAGGTAACATTCCGGCGACCGCACTGATCCATGGTTCACATCCGCTGGTAAACCAGATGGTGTTAATTCTAAAAGCTCGTAACCATTGGGCACCGTCTCGCCCAGGCCAGGGAATATAACGCCTGTAAGATACACACACTTAAAGATTCCGGTATTTTAATTGATTTAAAATAGTAATCTCTCGACGGTATAGTTATAATAAGAATAATAATTTCACACATCTAACACACGGCAGTCTGATCCCAAACTAGGTAGAGTCTATGCTATGGTAACCAGACTGCTGATAAACATACTTACTTAAATATTTCTAAATAAATGCATATTTTAGATAAATTATACCCAGCACAGAACAAATGATTGTGCTCATCACTGAATTAATTGTTTTGGGTGCACTAGAAACGTAGAATGAATGGTTAACTCTAGGAGAATTTTGCATCCCACCAGCTTTGAAATGGCACACTTTTATACAATTGGTTACCTGCCCTATTTACCTCAACGCCTGCCCTGTTTACTTCAAAGCCTTTCAATTAACTTTCCCTAATCAAAGCAACCTGGTAAGGTGGGGAAAAGCTACAGAAAAGGCTTATACGATGTGCAGTGCGGAAATACGTAAAGCCAGGCATTTGCTGACAGGCTATAAGGCGCTATTAGACCGGGGTCATTCACATCGCCATGATAGGGTATTACAAATCATACGCGAACCTAATAACTATAAGTTGATAACTGGCGGGAGCCAAAAAGGGATAACAACAAACATAAGAACTAACATTTAGTTTCCAAAGGAAAACTCAACAAAGAAGACTTCAAAAAAGCCGTACTCAATCATAAATACCGCCTGTGACTGGACATTATTGGACATGTATGAAAATAATCTGTGCCTCGGCGTCCAGACCAGACGTATTTCATTATGCAATGTCAGTTAAGCGTGTAGTACTAGTACTCACGGTGCCGTGGGAAACGAACATCCCTTAACACCACGCTTTAAAAAAAAATACTTTAGACTTAATCAACGAAATAACTAAAACTGGTTACTTCGTTGCGTTGTACGTTGCGTTGTATGCATTGTATGTATTGCCTGTGGCTCCGCCCGCCCGTATGTCGGTTATTAAAGGAGCCTATGTCCTTCCTCAAGAATATTTCCATACCAAATTTCATCTAGGTCGGTTCAGCGGTTATTGATTTCCCATTCAAACTTCCACCCCCTTTCATCCGAACTTCATCCGAATTCGAACTATCTCTGTACCAAATTTCGTCTAAATCGGTTCAGCGGCTTAACTGTAAAGAGGTAACAGATAGACAGACAGACACACTTTCGCATTTATAATATTAGTATGGACTATGGAATAGATATATAGACTAGAATGTTTATGTATATGGTTATATGAATGGTATGAAGAATTGAAATCTCATCGAAGATGGAGACACAAAAAAAAAGTCGTATTGAGGTATTCGTTTTGGTCTGTTAAAAACTATTTCAGAGAAACGTAACGAGAGACTATGTATGATAAATGATAACGAATAATCCATGTTGTTTTATACTTAAACGTATGTCGATATTTAAATATTAAGTATGTTAACATTACGCTAACAGATAGTAAATAATGTCTACTTATATTTGCATACATATATTCTGCTTCCTGTAGAAAGTTCATTGATTGCTCTTTAAAACTCGTCATTTTACAGTAAATTACCACATAACACACAATCATTTTTATTTGTAGTTACGTACAATATTTAAAGTTGATTTTAGCCTTGACCATGACTTCATTCTTAATTTATTTATTTTTTACGCTAAATTGTAAACACTTCCTATCAGAATGCTTTCACATACACTTGTTTGTATACGTTTTATTTGGAATACTACAGAAAAGTTTCCATCAAATTTAAAAAAAAACTTTTAGTAAAGATAGATTTTGGATAGCTCATTTATCGAAGAAAGCTATAGGCTATATAACTTCACGCTACTATCAATAGGATCCGAGCATCAAAACAGGGAAAATTTATTCGTTTTAAGGAACGCAGACGAAGTTGCGCCGGTTAGTTAGTTAAATATAAATTTAAGAAAACAATTCCTTATCTTCGTCTGTTACGTCACTTTTAAACTTGCCAGTTGGCAAATGCCATTTCCGTCGTACCGAAATGCCGTTTTAAATAATAGGAATGAAAACCAAATAATAACTTTTTTTAAAGTATCACAGTCTTTAATCTCCCTACATCATGATGAATTGTAATAAACTGTACCTATTATTAATTCGTAAATTTTTCACCCTTAGGTATTTCGTATTTTTTTCGTACATCTGCCACACAACGCCATCTAGTTCTAAAATAAGCAGAACTAGGCTACGAGACCTAGATTGATAGAATTTTAAGTACTTTTTTTTGTAAATACATACATATTATAAAAAAACACCCAAACTCCGAAACAAATTGCAGATCATACAAATACTCGTATTTGGTTCAACCCGTAAATTGAACCAGGGACCTCAAACCTTGACCTGTTGCGTATGCACAGCAGTCGCAAACGCTACCACTGCACCACCTAAGCAGTCAAGGTGTTTTGTTCTTCATATTTTAATGAGATAAAACGGGCAGAAGTTTAGAAATCAGTTAATTAATGACGGAGTTATAAGGTTACAAACAAAAATAATACTAACGAATTGAGAAACTCCTTTTTTGAAGTCTGTTAAAAAGGCAAACACTAAATTTTAATATTATGATCACAGTATAAAAGATTCCACATCTAAAGAATAAAATAGAAAAGAATATGCTTTATTGTACACCGATTACAATATTATGCAAATAAATATTATGGACGGATATGTACAATGCAAAGAATATCTAGAAGAACTTTTGAATCGTCTAGAAACAATCTCTCCGATCTCTTGTCTCCGATTCGGACTAGTTTTAAAGAGAGACAAGATCAAGATTTAGATAGTGGATCGAGCCAGACAAGAAGATACAGGTGTAGTGAACATAGCCAATTGTGAAGTAGTACAACGCTATATTTACCTTGGTTCCACTATCTCTAACGTTGTAGGATGCAAAGACGAGATCAAGGGTAGATGTGATCATTAGGTCAGCAGTAGAACGGTGTGGAAAAACCAAGAGCATTACCAGGAACACGACGGTCCGCTTGATGAAGCGCCTGGTATTTTCAATCTCTCCTTACGGGGATCCAGATCGCAAAAAATCGATGCCTTAAAGATGTGGTGCTGGAGAAGACTGTTAAAGATACTCTTTTCGTTCGCACAGCGTTTCGCACTAATAACTCCATCCTCAAACATACAAAATAGGTTATCGTCGATTGTGCAATTACGAATACTGAAGTTCTTTGGACACATCTCTAGAAAAGAGGACTCGATGGAGAGACTTGTAGTGCAAGGCCGCGTAGAGGGCACAATACCATGGGGTCGGTCCCCAACCTGCTGGATCGACCTATGTAAAGCCACGACCGAATCGACTGCAGTACAATGTGCTCGCAATACAGAAAACCGGCAGAAATGGAGGAACATCGCAAGATATACAGCAGCCCCGGCGACGGCGAGCGACACGACCACTCTGGCAAGAGTGTCCGATTAGGAAATATACCATAACTTTTATGTTTAAGCAATTTTTAGGTCGGAATTTTCTTTCTTTTTCTTATTTCGAAACTCTTTTTCTTTAAACTGATCTGCACTGAAACTATATTTGGGTAAAAGTGATCTCATTGTAACCTTTACCTTAAAGTATTCAATACAGCCGCTGACTTTGGCCAACGACCTTGCGTAATACACATCGATTATAATAAAAAAAAACTCAAGATTATGTCCATTCCAATTGCTACATAATTTTACCAACCGCAAATTTTACAGGTAAAAATCGTATTATGTAGCAATCGGTAATCAGGTCAAGAACCGAAAGATTTGTCGACTCGTGAAATGTGCGCGCCGGTTTATCAGAAGCCACGGGTTTGATTCCATTCAGTGCAAATATTTGCCTACCTAGGTACTAGGTAGGGTTTGGGTGTGTATTTACAAAAATGAATAAAATAAATATTACATAAGTATGTTTATCCGTATTGTAGAACCAGTACAAGCTAAACTTCTTTACGGTCTAAAAAGCATTGTATAATATGCCTCAGAATGTTAATAAGATATTATTATTTCAGCCAAAAGTTTTTATCGTCAGGGATGCAGTAATTCTGCCACAACGGACACTTGCTTCGAATACAAGTGATAAATATTGCTCTTTACGAATTTTGAATTAAATTCTTGGTTGTCTCAATATTTTCATGTATGTAAACATAATTTGTACAACCTAAATTAACTTAACTTTATTTATAACCATTAAAACCTTATATGTTAAACAAAAGCTGCAAGCCGGTACTTGCTATGTAAACATTCATTATCTATGACGAGCAGACTAATTAACAATTCATATTCAAAAGAATGCGTACGCGCCGTATTACGTCATGTACACAATGCTGCTTTATTGACCCGAGTAACTAAAGTTTAAGTGGCAATGAACCTTGCTGCATTTTAGACGATATATCAATGGTGTCAATAAGTAGCAGGCAGAAGGTCGATGAGTTAAATTTTTTGTTTGTTAAATAATAAATTTTGTTAAATAATCCACATGTGCTAACGACTTACTAGACGAAGTAAAAATCTTATTCAGTATCAGTTTATAGTCAGTCGCTAATTCACTCTGTGGAGGAACGGGTGCCATGTCCCTCCAACACAAAGGGAGGATCCTCCGACCAGGCGAGGTGATCATGCCTGGCGGGCCGCGGCCCAACGGTTGATGTTGGGAAGTTGTATATATGCTAATCGGCGAGGGAATTCTTTATATCGCGATACAGGATTAGCAATTCTTATTTTAGTAGTTACTCCGTAGTTCGGTGTGTCTTCATTAGATGGCGCTGTAGTATGTTTCTGTTTCTTTGTATGTGGGAGTCGCCACAACTCCATCAGCATTCAATAAAACAAGTAGGCTGATTATTTCTTTGGGCACTGAATTAAAATACGTTTACCAAAGTATTTTAGTGGGTTAATTAGCTAACAATTCTGATATTAGTATCGTTTAATTTGCATTAGAGTTAATCTTATAATTAAAGCGCTATTTTAAGGCATGCCCAGATTCGTACGCCTACCTGAAATAATAAAGCAAGGTAGAGAATGAACCTATTCATACATATGTGCAGTTTATTCTTTTAGTTTAAAGGTGAACAATGGGTCTATCTAGCAGGATAAGGTAGGGTCAGCGGCTAAGGTAGGGTTAACAGAACTTCAGCCTCTCATCTCTCTGCGTTCTGCAGATAATTGATCAAAAAGACGCTGGAGCGGATATTTTCCAAAATTGTTTTAGAGCTGCACTAATGAAACAAAAACGGTCGTTATACAAAATATTACTGTACATTATATATTTTTTATAGAATTTTTCTGTCGTATTTACTATTAAAAAATAAAAATTCAACATTTTATTCATAGTTCACGCAGAGTTGCAATCACAGAAAAAATATATAATGCAGCTTACTATGTCTAGTATTAGTACCAAAAAATGCATAAACAAAATATGAGTGCAACACTTCCAAAAAAAAATTAAACTTCTTATGACCGTCTTAGGTACTAATTAATTCATATTTTGTCTTTTGATTAAACTTTTTCATTAATCTATACACGATAGTAACATGTTTATCACTTAAAAACACATTAGATAGTAATTAAAAATTTAAGTATGACGTTGATTTCGACATAAAGAGATGAAAATTGTTTGTTGAACTACGACGTTTTTAAAGAACAAGAAGAAGCTTGTCGCTCTCGAGCTAGTTGCGTGTATGCATAACGTGACCATACGTCCCGCTTTGGGCGGGACAGTCCCCGCTTTCAGGCAGTCTGTCCCGGTGTCCCCAGCGGGGCCGACATTGTCCCGCTTTTGCAAACAGACCAAACGATAATTTAAAATATATTTATCTCGCTCGAAATGCGTGATACGGCGTCGGCACGGGAAGGCAGCAGATTACGAGAGAGCGCGCCGCCCGACGCGCGGTGCCGCTCTAACGCGTGTGAGTAGGATAGATAATAAGATAACCCCTCCCGCGCCCGCGCTTACTCGATGTTCAGTCAACGACTGCAATGTTTTGTTTTAGTTCAAGTCGGACGTAACCTGATATACACGTGTAACGCAACGCACAAAAGAATAATGCCTAAACGCAAGTGTTCCTTTAATATTAGTTTGCAACAGAAGTATCCATTTATAAAACAAAGAAAAGATGATACTGCAGATGTAACGTGTGAAAAGTGTCGTACTGATTTTAGTGTTGGACATGGTGGTGCTAGTGATATAGAAAAACATTTAAAGTCAGAAAAACACAGGCTTGCCGATCAAGCCACTGCTTCAAGCTCGTCAATGCTTAGTTTTTTTAAAAGAACCGATTTGCCGACTTCCAAGGATTTGGATATAGCTGCAGCTGAGGGTACGTGGGCGTTTCACACCGTGCAACATAATCACAGTTTTCGCTCAAATGACTGTTCTTCTCCTTTAATTCAAGCATGTTTTGAGCAAAAATTTAGATGTGCACGTACAAAGTCTCAAGCTATTGTTGTAAATGTGCTGTCAACTATGGCAACCGAAGATTTAAAAGAGCATTTACGCAAAGCCCACTGTATAACTTTACTAACAGATGCTTCAAACCATGGCTCAGTCAAATTATTTCCAGTGTTGATGCCGTTTTTTTTACCATGCGAAGGCGTGAAAGTCAAGGTTTTAGAGTTTCGGGAACAGCCAGGTGAAACATCGGATATTATTGTTAATTATTTGAAGGAAGTATTGTCTTTCAATGACTTGAATAAAAAAATTGTTGCGTTTTGTGGAGACAACACGAACTGCAACTTCGGGGGAAAGAATAGGAAAGGCAGCAATAATGTTTACTCAAAATTGAACGAATCACTCGGCAGACAGCTTATTGGAATTGGATGTGGAGCCCACATAGTCCACAACGCGATCAAAACTGCCGCTGATTGTCTTCCTCTTGACTTCGAATGCATCATAGTGAAAATTTACTCATTTTTCTACATCTACAGCGTTCGTGTAGAAGCTTTGAAAGAGTTTTGTGATTCCACCGAGACAGAGTATCAGAAACTGCTGGGCTACAGTAAGACAAGATGGCTTGCGTTAATGCCCGCGCTTGAGAGAGTTATAAAAATGTTTCAGCCTTTAAAAAACTATTTTCTGAGTATCGACAAATGCCCAAATATTTTAAAAACGTTTTTCGAAAATCCCAGCTCAGAATTATATTTACATTTCTTGCACGCACAAGCAGCGACCTTTCATGAAGCTGTGTTGAAAATCGAAGGGCAAAATGTTTCGGCCATAGAGTCAGCCAAAGAAATTAATCGTCTCCGAGATAACCTGGCATTAAAAGAGAATACGGTTTTCCTTCCCCACATCGTCCGTAACTTACTTGTAAAATTACAAGAAAGAGAAGCTGCTGTTGACCAGCAGAATGTAAAAACAGCGGTGGCTGAGTTTTATAAAACAAGCAAAGAATACTTGGAGCAGTGGTGTCAATTCAACACAGAACTAGAAATGTTTGAATGGGCAAATTTAACAAAAGTACCTACGTGGGAAGAGGTACAGAAAGTGCTGGATTTACTGATCATGCAAGGATTTATTAGCAGCAGCCAAGATACAAAAGTCTTTGACGAGTTTTCACTTATTTCAAACTTTGCAACAGATGAAAAAATCTCTGGCTGGAATACCGAGAATGTTTCTACTGAAAACCGTTGGTTCGAATTATTCCAGCACTTTCGTACCAACAATCTTCATATAACGAACTTTTCCACAATTATTGAGTACATTATGTGTCTGCCTGGAAGTAACGCACCTGTCGAAAGAGTTTTTTCTCAAATGAACAAAATATGGACAAGTGATAAAACTCAGTTAAGTGTCGCAGTAATGAAAGCTATTTTGATTACGAAGATAAATATAAATAAATCATGTACTGAGTTCCACACTTATCTAAAAACAAGGCCCGATATTTTGAAACAAATTTGTTCAGCCGACAAATACAAAAATAAGACTTAGAAGTCACGTCATTACTGGGGCTTATCGTCGTGCCTACTTAACTATTTTGTGTTCAATACTTTGATTATATTGTGTTAATTTATCTTCTATCTATAATAAAAAACTTGTATAACACAATTTTTTTTTTAAACATAATCCGCAGATGTCCCGCTCTGGTAAAAAAAAAAAATGGTCACGTTATGTATGCATTGTGTTGTTTTGTTTATCTTTTTTCTTCTACTCCCACTATTTTAGTGGCTCGACTTCAATAATCGTACGGAATATCGTTTCGGAATATTTCAATTTTTAATTTATCTTGTGTCTTAGTGAGTATTTGTACAGGAAATATGTCTAAGAACAGCAGGATGTTGTTCTCATTAGCCGCAGTTGTTTATTACTTGTCTTACGCCCGATATCTTTCCCGTATGTTACGTCCAACACAAGCTTTATCGGACACAGAAAAAAATCACGCAGTTATTAATGAGGACAGCGATGAAGATTAATCATACTTTAATAATATAATTTACCATAATTTTTTTATTTATGCACTTTTTGGTACTAATACTAGACATAGTAAGCTACATTTTATATTTTCTTCTGTGTGTGTACCTCTGTGCGAATTATTAATAAAGTCTTGATTTTTTTTAATAGTAAATTAAAAAATACGACAGAAAAAATCTAGAAGAATATATAATGTAGACTAATATTTCGTGTAACCACTGACCTGTTTTTGTTTCATTCGTGCAGCTGCAATAGTTTTCGTCTTTTTGATCAGTAGTTTTACACCTCGCCGATGTTGCCTAATGAGTTATTTTCAAAATATCTATCTGGGGCCGCTGACCCTTAACCATACGGTGTGCCATCCTGCGCCTGTAATAGGAATGATCTGGAAACTGCTATTATTAAGACATCCAGACCTCTCGTAGCGCCTGCCCGCAATGGCGCGGGCACCACCTTCGAGTACACGGTGGCCGTTATGGCGGGTGGAGGGGAAAACCCGTCCCGTCTACCCGCGGCCACACTTAGGGTGGCATGAGGCGCTGGTAAGCACGCCTCCACCGCCCGGTTCGTTGGCGGCGATTTGGATGAGATCAGCCTCCAGGGCCATCTCCGCCGCCTCCTTCGCGTTCGATGCGATCGCGGTAAAACAACTGTCACTACCGGCGATGGAGCGTATGACGGCCGGAAGCGAGATATCCTCTCCAATGAATGATGACCCGACGCTGCGACGCCCAAGCCGGGCAAATTGCCAGCGTGTGCTAAGCCGAGTCCTTACTGCAATCGCAGAGTGGTGACAGGCGGGACTCGATTCCCTCCTAGCGACCGAGTGCAGGTACTTCCCGAAGCAGCCGTGCCCGGAAAGGACTTGCGTCAGTCGGAAGGAAAGGGCCCCGTGCTGCCGCCTGCCCACTTAACGATGACCGGCTGGAGCGTCTCCACGGTGGCAAGACCCAAGTGGAGCCTCCAGCCGGCACGACCGGGGCGGGCGTCGACTGTCGTTAACCGCCCGGAATTCAGTCGTCCGCCGATATACTCCGGCTCCGCTGACCCTACCTTATACTGCTAGACTAAAGGCAAACAAACTAATGGCCACTCTTTTGCAATTTACAGATAAATACAATCGCATCATTAAATACACCACAACATTGTCCGTTATTAAAAATTAAAGGTAAAAAAACCATAAAAAGAAAAATTACATTAGGAAAAAAGATCAAATGAAAGAGAAAGTGAAGTGAAACATAAAAAAATAGATTTTTTTTTAAATAAAAAACAGCCTAGATCACATCACATTTCCATTTAAGAAATAGCCTGCGCTAAATTATTGGCAAGCATTTTTCTCTTCTATGCAATCCACAACAGAGTACCTAATAGGCTTTCTTACATAATTTACGTTTAATTGCGGACTTAAATTTGTTAATACTTAAGTAATAATATCATTTGGGATTTTATTATAAAAGCGGACACATTGACCTTGAAAAGACTTGTTTATCTTTTGGAGCCTAGAGGCAGGTACTACAAGTTTGTTTTTCAAAAGCTATCCTTGTTTTTATGAACATAAATATATTGACATGCCACTGTCATTATGTTTATTTCTTTAAATTTCTGCCTCAATGAAAAACAATTCTCTAAATTCCAAATCGCTCTATTTTGCAGCGTTTCATAAACAACACAATCAAAATCTTTAGATAAATTACAGAGCTACCTAGAGAATCGTGGACATCCTCCCAGGAATCAAATATATGTTTTACTAGCACAAAACCTGCGTTGTGGAGCGACTTCTTGTAAAACCAAATTGTCTATTGGGTAATATATTATTATTATTAAAAAAACTTTGTAATTGATCACACATATTATTTTCAAAAAATTTGCTAAATACTGGTAGTACTGAGATAGGTCAAAAGTTAGTTGGGTCAGATGATTTGAATAAGGGAATAACTTTACTAGACTTCATAAGATCAGGCAATATACCTCGGGAGATAGAAAGAGAAGAGAATTGTCGTAGTAATTAATAAAGAAATTCCCCATACGTCGGTTGTTTTTTTAACATTAATAGTATTAAAGTCTTTAATAATTTCAAACGGGGAAACATATTGGAACTTAAATTCATTATCAATCCTACTAATATAGATATAAATCATTACCAGTTACTGATTGATCTGTTTTTTTTTAAATTGGGCTCAGACTGCCGTGTGTAAGATTGTATTAAGTTATTATTTCTATCAAGTTATTTAATACTAATTCAAAGTTAGTAAACATTTTTCTTTGATTAGTATTGTGTGATACTCTTTTTTTTTATCTTATTTTTAGGAGCAATACACGATTTCGATACCATTCAACTTAACCGCTGATCACATAAATGTGATATAGATGGACGTTAAGATTAATAATTATTTTTGTCTTTAATGTATGGAAATTATTATTGTGTTATCATATCATTCTGGGACACCCTACCAATCATTTATTAAAATTTATTTATTCACATAACTTTATGCACTCTCGTAAGTGTTACGCCACGCCCGCGCCGCTCACTACCACGCTGAGTGTTGTGGGTCCAATCCCCACATTTGTGTGATCTACAAATTGTTGTTCTAAGTCTGGGTGTTCGTTGTGTCCGTTTCATATATGTTTGTAAAGTCCCCCGCGACACAGGATATATTCCTAATGCGGGAGATGTCTTTAAAAAAACAGTACATCGACGGACTTAATGCCCATACTATGCATTTAAATAAAATATTTTTGGAAGATAAACCGCTTCAATACCTGACTATGTGTTGGCACTATAAATCTCTCAACAACTCGACACACTCGGACGAGACCCGGCAGGTGCTTTGCAAACAGTTTATAAATATGTAGGAAGTATCGAATAGCTTCACCGCAGTAATGTGACTAATATCCCATAACACCGCTGGATATCGATTAGAACTTGTTATATAACGTATTGAACAAAGAAGATTGTCTGGAAGTGGCTGAATGCCTATGATTTATAAACTAATAAAAACTTTAGACCCAGCTTCATGTATAAGAAAATATCGTCAGATTCATTAATTTATAAGGATATCAAAGTATCGCCGCAATAGAAGAATTGATTCCCATGTGACATTTACTAGAAAATAGCTGGTGTTATTATTATTATTACATTTCATTAGGGTTAATACACGCAAGCGTAGCCGAGCAGGGAACAGCTAGTTTTTAATGAATATTTATCACACGATTTGCATTGTTGTTAATTGATCATTAAAAAATAACGAAGCTTATCAGGTCAAGTTTTATTATAAACAAACATTATGTGTACATATTTATTATTTATATGTATTATTCGCATATATGGCTTTATCCGAGAATTGAGATATTAGCAGCATTATTTTAACATCATCATTGCTTATTTCATTGACAGGACTATTAAAATGCATTTTAAGGCTGCTAGATCCTTCAAAGATTGTTCTGGAGTCACTATCGTCTAGAAAGTCGTTTTTTTTATTACCCTGACAATAATCGTATCCTATTTTAAGTTAAAATAAGTACCCCATCTAAAGCAGTGCTCTTACGCGTCTGAAGCTATTAATGTCATATCGTGCGATAGGGGTCCTCTGTGCTGCGTTCTGAATGTGATAACCGGATGTGTCTACACCAATAAATAGGTATTGTTTATTGGCTTTCGTTCCAATTCGAATCTGATTTAGAACGTTATTTTCCACGTGAAGTGAATGTGGGTGGTAATGAATGGACTGCACGGATGGCGTTGGTATAAGCGGTCACCACGCCGCTTCCTATTGCGCTGAGTGTTTTGCGTCCGATCCCCACACGGGACAACTCTTTGTGTGATCTACAAATTGTTGTTCTGAGTCTGGTTGTTTTTTGTGTCCGTTTCCCTCTATGTTTGTAAAGTCCCCCGCGACACAGGTTATATTCGTAGTGCGGGAGTTGTCTTTTTTACAAAAAAAAGGTCTTAACTGTGAATACGTAGTTTCTTATTCTGAACAGATGTTTATGTACTTTGTTTTCTTAATATAAAGCTAAAATAAAGTAAATATATATGTTACGCTTTAGCCGTTAAAACTATCCAACGTCAGTAGTTAAAAACGAAGAACACAATACAAGTGTGGCACAACACTTTCTGTTCAAAGATTTCTTATAATGACCACGATGCGATATGGGTTTACGATTGATACGATGTTCAATGAATTTCATTGCCGCTTTATCATAACGCTATATTATATACTATATTTACACACAACCGATGACACACGTGTCTCATGCTGTAATTACTTCGTTCAACATTAAATAAATCAAGTTGATGTCCAGTATCTAGATACGGAAGCGTCTTACATGTAGCAATTATAAAAAAAACCGGACAGGTGCGAGTCGGACTCGCTCACAGAGGGTTCCGTACAAATCTGTAGGTACATTTACAGGATTTAATTACAAATGTCTAGTTTTTAGATTTTTCCCTATACATACTACTTACCTACTAGTATAAGACGGTATTTCTTGCCAAATTTCATAGTTCTAGGTCAACGGAAAATACCCTATAAATGATTCCCTCGAGTATCGAAATATACGTTTTTTGTGGCATAAACGGCCGTATTTCTTACGCTTACTTAGAATTTTGTTTTTTTCACAAGTACAAGAGACTCTAGACCTAAATATATCGTAATTTCAACTCGATACCTCCACGCGTTCCCGAGATAAAGGGTCTTGACAGGCAGACAACAACAAAGTGATCCTATAAGGGTTCCGTTTTTTCCTTTTGAGGTACGGAACCCTAAAAACAGTTTCAATCAATTTCATTCTAAAATAGAGAGTTAACTTTCCTAACATTTGTCAACTAGTTATAGTTTGTAAAGCTAGAAAAGTTCTATCAACTTTAATTTAACGAAATGACGCCTATATTACTTCAATAAAAGCTAGGTTAGCGTTCGTTTTCTATATTCATACCAATAGATGGTTGATTATCACGAAAAAAAGTTGTGTCAAAAAAACAAACTCGTTGATTAGAGTGTATCCAAGATAGATTTTTTATCGATTACTTCTTCTACCAATCAGTCCCTAAATGTCATGTTGATGACTATAAAATTACGAACTGGCGTATATTTTAAGTACTAAGATTGCATTCGCTACTTGTTACTCACAAGCAAGTTTATAAATGATCATGTAGGTCAAGGTAAATTTGTTTATAATGATTGAATTCAATGTATGTAATATACATTTCTATAAAATGTATATTACATACATTCAGTAATTTCTTATTTTATAGTAAAATGACAGTGCATAGGATTGCGTATAAAAGATTATACTTGGATTTAATAATTTGAATAAATTACCAGTTATTCATAACTAGCCTCCGTTTTTTGACGTATTTTAGCAATTTACTACCATTACAGACTGCATGGATTTTATTAGAATTTATAAACATTTTTTTTAATAGGTACGGGCATTTATGCTTTGGTAGACATAATACGTAAAAATTTTAATTTTTTTTTTTTAATATTATATTTTTTTTTTAAATGCATCCCATGAGTTTTTTTTTCGGATGAAATATATACTTTTCTGTATCGTTTGTATACTATTTTTACACATTTAATGAATAAACTGACGCGGTAAGGGACTCTTTTTTATTATTTAGGGACAATGATTGATGTAAACAACCAAAAGATATTTATAAAATTTATAGATAAAATATATTCATAAGTGCAACTAGATTTTACTAGATTGCATTCAAGTTTATTACTCAATCAGCTGTACAGCATTGGAGTACCATATTACTGAGCGAGTGTCAGTTACAGTAAGAAACTTAATCCTTAGACCACAAACGTAATAAAATCGAACTCTCAGATGTACATATCTGACATAATAATTAAGGAATAATAGATAGATGCTAAATATTATTTTAGTGACTAAAAATACATAGAAAAGTGGCAGTCTATGTGGTGTATTTTATTTATGGTAAAAGACAACTCCCGCACTAGGAATATATATTGTGACGCGGCAGACTTTACAAACATACATGAAACGGACACAAAGAACATCCAGACGCAGTGCAACAATTATGGAACACATAAAGTGTTGCCCGAGCCCACAACATGTGGGGATCAAACGCACAACACTCTTAGCAATAGGAGGCGGTGAAAAGACTGCCTTAACCAGTATGCCATCCCTACTATTATATACTACTACCTAGTCATTAAATAGTCAAAAAGTAGTTACTAAATTCTTTGAGGTCTCAAATATTATAAGATGATGAAACTTTTCCTTTTAACTGCCTAATATTCAGCAACTACAAATGCTTATGTCGACCACCAGTATTTGCAGGTTGCTTTAGAAATATTTGCAGGGTTGTAATTTATCCTTGCAAGGAATCACAGAGAAGAATTGAAATAGAAAGGGTAATTAAGTAAAAATTGACAGAATTTTTATGTTGCCTAAGAATAATGATTTGTATGTATTTTCTTAATCACTTAAATATATATATATATATATTTAAATAACATACATATTTATATATTCGTTTCACATAAATATTCTGAAGTATAAGGCTGGCTAAATCTCCAATAAATCCATACTAATATTATAGTGTGTCTGTCTGTTACCCCTTAACACTTAAACTTGGTATAGAGATGGTTTGTATCCTGAGAAAGGACATAGGATAATTTTTATCCCAGAAATCACCCTCGGGAGGGGAGGGGGGTGAAAAGGGGAGGGGGAAGTTTCTATAGGGAATCAATAACTGCTGAACCGATTTAGATTAAATTTGGTGTAGAGATAGTTTGATTCTTAAGAAAGAAAATAGGCTACTTTTACCGCGAACATACACCGCCGCGCCGCGGGGAAAAGCTAGTAAAGTAATAAATTTTAAATTAATAAATAATAGACCCATTTATTACATTTAAATTCTCATTACTATATGTTGTTTTCAACATTACCATTATTGAGCTTCTACTTTAGGAACAGAGTACTAGACTTCTAATTAGCATGATCCGTGTCTGTAATACATAATGTATTAGATGAGTTACATGACCAAAATAGCAATCATTCGCTAACTAACAAGCATCAACTACATGTACAACAGTTGTACCTCCATAATTAAATACTTCCTCATTGACCTCAACACATGGTGTGCTTAGGATAAACACAATGCACACGTATATATTTTACCTGCCATTCTCAAGCAAAAAGGTGCTAAATGAGTAGATATTTATAAGTTTAATAATAACACATCTAACACATAGCAGTCTGATTTCAAATTTGGCAGAGCCTGTACTATGGTAACCAGCCCTGACTGCTTAGCCGGAGGTTGTGGGACTAGGACAAACAATTGTATAATGAGCACAATCATTTGTTCTCTGTCTGGGTGTAATTTATCTACTATG